ATGGCTTTAAGCAAACAAGGTGACATTTGTAATTTTAAGCACCACAATTTACTTTTTTTACCAGTTGTGGGAAAAGGACCATCTCTTGAACACCAATGTAAACCCTAAATCTATTTCTGCAGTGTTTGGAATATTGAGAAATAAGCAGCTGAAATTTAACAGATCACCTATTTTCAGGGGCATAATATTCTGTATTATAAAAAGGAGATAGAGCAGGTGTATTATGCCTTTACTATGTCTTCTAAATTACAGTCCATCAAACCTCTAAGAGACAACATTTCACTAACATCTTCAAAGGTTTACATCTTCTATGACTTAAATGTATTTTTCATTAAGCATGAACCCCAACCAAAGGAAAATTACTTGCTTTAGAGAAACAGTAAAAACTTAAAAGCCTGCTCACGAACTTTCAGAAGAGAAAGCCATCCATTCCAGCATGAAAAATCTACAGGGGCTGATCAGCCACCTTACCTTAAGGCAGGAGTCTTCAAAGTTGGCAACTTTAAGACTTGTGGACTCCAACTTCCAGAATTCCCCTGACTGGCTGGGGAATTCTGGGAGTTGAAGTCCATAAGTCTTAAAATGGCCAAGTTTGAGGACCCCCCCCCACCCTAAGACCTGGGAGAAGAGCCAGATTTTCATAATATCATCACAGAGAGACCACGGGGGGGGGCTATTGAGGGATGCTATTCCAGAGGTCAGGTGCTGCAACAGAGAAGGAACACTTTTGAGATTCTGATAGATGACATTATTTGAGGGTGGCTGGGAGCTCCTTAATTGTGTGCAGGGTCCACTTCAGCTGTGCATCAGAGGCTTTAGCCCAACACTAAGCAGGGATCACTTGATATTGCACAGCAAAACCACTCCCTTCAGATTGCGGAAACGCTGAAGATCTTTCTTGCAGGAAAAAAATAGCACCAGCTCTTCTCTTTCTAATAGTTGCCCATAAACATCACCCCTTGCCAAAGTCTGTGCAAAGCTTCCTTAGATTGGTATTGACAAACCTGTAATTATCTCCATCAAAAGATATTTACTTCTGTCTGCCTTATTTAGGTAACATGCTAGAATGAAAACGGTCATTTTTGAAGCCTCTTTGGAAGTGAAGTGAGACCCTTGTATGCGTTTAAAGCAAAGGAAGCCCTCATATAACGATCGGCTGTGTGCAGAGAGATAGTCCTCACCTTACAACTGTTCATTTAACAACTGTTTGTAGATACGACGGTCCTTGAAAAAAGCGGCTGATCATACTTAGGATGACTGCAGTAGCTCCGCGGTCATGTGATCTAAATCCGTGTGCTCGGCAATTGGGATGCATTTATGACGGTTGTAGCGTTCTGGGGTCATGTGATCTTAGTCATGTGATCTTAGTGGTCTTCCCAGCTGATTTCCAGCAAGCTAAGTCAAGGGGGGGGGGGGAAGCTGGATTCAGTTAACAACCACAGCAGAAAAGATCACAAACCCGGACACTTAGCGATGGAATCGTAAGTCAAGGACTATTTTGTCAAGTCAAGGACTAATATTTGAGCCCTGGTGGTGCAGTAATTAGAATGCGGTATTGCAGGCTAATCCTGCCGACTGCCAGCAGTTCACTCCTTATCGGCTTAAAGTTGATTCAGCCTTCCATCCTTCCAAGGTCGGCAAAATGAGGACCTAATATGTTGACCTTGTCCACAGAGAGGGCTGTAAAGGATAGAAGTCTTAAGTGTGATTGCTGTGCCTCTCACCAGCCTTAGAAGGCACAATATTTTACAGCTGAACCCAAGTAGAGATTTCTGAATCAATCTTCTACCAACACAGGGCTGGATGGGAGTTGAGCATTTGGCAGGCAAAAGCATGAAAATCTGCATGAAAGCAGATTAGCTTATAACAAATCGGCCAGTTACCCATCATTTCCTCACTCCATTTGAGGCCTAGGGAGAGAATGGAGATCCACTTAAATAGGTTAAAGTACTGATTAGCCCAAGCAGAAAGAAAAGATTTTGGAAAACATGAAAAAGAGCTCCCTTCCTTTAGATGCCCTATGTACTCCAGCCCTGGAGTAGTGACCAGATGCGTTTATTTATTTAGATTGAATTTAATCATCCAGAAATAAGGATTTCATGTTTCAAGAAGCCCAGCAGCAGCAGCTGAGGACACAATGGCATCATCCTGCAATTGGCAGTAGGAACCTCAATCTCTAAAGCTTTCTAAGTTGGTGACTACCATCGCCTCTTCCAATTCCATTGTTTTAGGAAGACACTGTAGAAGAAATGCTTTCTGTTTGTGTATTTCCCATTGTTCAGCCTTACTAGAAGATGCCACACATTTACATGAATTTAGTTACCAGATTTATACGGCCACCCAATTCGAAATGACTCATTCAGTTCTAATGATGTGGAGCAGAAATGAATACAAGTTCATTAATTTTGGAAGATGGGTCCAAATTAACAAGACCTGGAAGCTGAGAGAAAGTCACTATTTGCTAGAATTGGATAAGTCTGGTTTAATGAAGAGAAGGACGAGGGGGGACATGATAGCAGTGTTCCAATATCTCAGGGGCTTTCATGAAGAGGGAGTCAAGCTATTTTCCAAAGCACCTGAAGGCAGGACAAGGAGCAACGGATGGAAACTAACCAAAGAGAGAAGCAACCTAGAACTAAGGAGAAACTTCCTGACAGTTAGAACCATTAACCAGTGGAACAACCTGCCTCCAGAAGCGGTGAATGCTCCAACACTGGAAGTTTTTAAGAAGAGACTGGATAGCCATTTGTCCGAAATGGTATAGGGTTACCTGCCTGAGCAGGGGGTTGGACTTGATGACCTCCAAGGTCTCTTCCAACTTTATTATTATTATTATTATTATTATTATTATTATTACCTTCTGTTCAAGATTTTTTGTTTTGTAGTTGCCGCTTTCCTCCAATATAAATACAACTCCATGAAAGGGAGAGGGAACTAGGAAAATGGCTTTTTTTTTCTGCCATGAGAAATAAATAAATTGTTTGTCCCCATTCATCTTCTTGCTAAGCTTTGAGAGAAATAGCTTTAGGAAAATATAGAAGATGACAATGGAGTCTGTCTTACATCAGTTATTATTTTTGCTAGACTAACGGCGTGAGAAAAAAATGTCCAAGATAATAGAATGGCTTATCATCAGAAACGCAAAATAGAGCTCAAATGAACAATTACGTAGAAATAAATGGCATCTTTTATACAGAGATTATGAGGAAGGGGGAGAGGGATAGAGGAAGATTACAAATATTTCAATAGTCCCAAACAATTGAGTATTGGAAGCCAGGATTCAGTTCAATAGAAACTCACATTCAGACTAATGGAAAGATAAACTAGATGTGGTGTCCTTAAACCTTTTGTTTTGCTCAAATAAACAAACAGAAAGTAACAATGTGCAATACTGAGACTGGGAAAATAGCAAACTTCTCAAGACTCCATTTCTGTCAAGGCATGTTTTCATTGTGGCAGTTTCATTATGGCTTGGATCAGTTAAACTCCCAGAATTCCCCAGGCTTCAGAATTCTGGGAGTTTAAGTCCATACTTCTTAAAGTTGCCAAGACTGGGAATTCTTGGCTTAGATGACCTTGAAGCAATAGAGGAAAAACTACTGGCCTAAACTTAGCTTATTTGGTAAACAGTTGCAAAGTCATCCTTGAATTATCCGAACCATAAAGTATAGCTCAGATGATGCTCCTTGAGATTATGGACGGCTTGAAAATTCCAGTTCCTGCCTGAGGCCCAAAGACATGCTCAATGGAAGGCTGTGCATCAAATTGGCACATGGATGAAGTTGGAGAAGGTTCCAATTCCTACTGAGTTGCAGCGTCTTTTCCTTTTGCAATTACACATTATTATTATTTTGCTGATATTTACAGTTTTTCCATGCTGTGAAAGCTATGTGTAATTTTTTAAAGTAGAAAAGTGAAGCTATATTTTAATAAGTTGACAAAGACCTTTGTGGCAATGTTATGTACAAAATGACACCTAGGTCTTGCAAATCTTAGGATTGTCATTCCTTACGTTTTAGGGCAACGTGCTGTGCTTGCAAGCAAACTACTAGACTGTCTTTGCATAGATGGTGTCCCTTGTTTGTCATACATACCTAATTCTGTCCTTTCTCCATAGTTGTGCTACTCTTTCTTTTCAAAGAGCTTGGGGGTGGGAGGGGGAGAAGGGAAAAGAGTTTGTTCTGAGAATCTTTTCTCTCTCTTCTGAACATCCTGTTTAGACAAATAAATATAGCATATTAGCCAGCTATTGATATGTGTAAATAAAATTATTTGCACAGCTAATACACAAGTGAATAAAATATACATGTTTATTAGTCCAATTAATCTTATTGCTTGGTTTTCTGTTTCACATATAGTAGCAATAAGAGCCAGGAAAATTAAAAATGCTGCAAAATTCCAGCATCATTTTTAGTGCTCAGAATACCTCTGGATTTCAAAATGACCCCAGAAGGGTCTTCAGGGGAAAAAAAGGATGTTGTGGTTCAGTTCCTAAATGGAATGGGTCCACTCCACTCACTCCCCATAAATATGGAAGCAAGAACATAGTATTCTGACAAGTTCTTTGCCTAAAAAGAAGCTGAGAATCTAAGCGAAATTGTTATCTCCCAGACTCTTTGGAAACGCTGGTTCACAAAACTGAAAAATTGATACCAAGTGCACCAGAAGAGAATGTCATTGTCAGCCTGGTTTGGAAACATTCCTTTTTCCAAGCCTGGTTTGGAAACTATCCAAACTGCTGTCTGTTGAGGGTCAGCAGTTCTTGAAAAGTAGGCCTCCTCAGCTTACAATCCAACAAGGAACTTTCAAGATCAAAATGCAGAGACGTGACCTTGAGACTTGGGAAATGTGCAGGTACCATCCAGCTATAGCTATTCCATGTATTACATTAAGCCCTGACCTTGGGAGAAAAAAAGGCCATCTTTTATAATTGTATTGCTGACTCAGAAAGGTAAATTAAATTCTAAACCGTGTGAAGAACACCACAGTCAAATGTTGGCTCTTTTAACCTTATTTACTGATATCTGAAAGCTTTAATTATAAGTTTCCCAAAATCCAAAAACACCCACAAAACTCAATACTTTTTTTAATGATCAATATTTTGTTCCAAAAACATACAACCTTATCAGCTAATAAGAGCTATTTTACAAACATACATACATCTGGATAATTAGAACAATAAATTCTTTTTCTTTCCTTAGACATTCAAACATGATCAGTTAAAAATACAAGGATATTTCATCTGTCTCATTGTTGTCGTCCTTTTGTTTGTGTTTGCATTTTCCTTTCCAAAGAATATTTTCAGATTGAAGTTTTGTGTTTTTCCTTAAAAGCAGAATCTGTTAAAAGGAGTAAATGCATGGCAAGCAAATAAAATACAGTTCTAGCAGTTAGAGCATTACAACAAACAATTCCATTTTTTTTTTTTAAAAAAAAAGAAGAGCAGAGTAACATTCCAGCTGCGGAATCCTTTTGGACAGCATCTGCCTATAAGTTGGTGCTGGAGGAGGGGCGAGGGGAATAAAGAGAAATAAGGGACTTCTTTGGAATGGGGGGAGGAGAGAGAGGGAGATGCAATTCATTCATCAAACGTACAACCGGCATTAAGATTCTAGATGATGAAACAGCACAAATAAAGTAGTGTTTCCACCAAACCCCAAAATGTTAACCTGACATATGGCAGAGTAAAAGATAATACTGTATGGGTCTTTCACCTATGCAACTTTGCTTGCACTTTAGTTCTGAAAGTCTCTCTCCTTTTTCTCAGAAGCTATCAACAGTCAAGAATATCCAACATCCCAAAGCAACAGGGCAGTGTTTCCCAAACTTGACAATTTTAAGGCATGAGGACTTCAACTCCCAGAATTCCACAGCCAGCGTTGCTGGCTGTGGAATTCTGGGAGTTGAAGTCCTCATGCCTTAAAATTGTCAAGTTTGGGAAACACTGCAATAGGGGAACCGTTATGAATTTCACCCCCTCCATCAAGCAATCCTATTTCTTGCCTTTTCTACTCTCAACGGTAGATTGGGGGCAAATTGGCAGGCAGTGAGGCAGAACTGTTACGCAAAAGGTAACCCCCAAAACCGAGAGAAGAAAATTTGACTTCCATTTGTCTCCCGCTCAATGTCTCATTGTGGATTAGTGACAAAATCACGTCTACGCAGACAGCAAGGCAAGGATGTATTGGTAGTGCTTTGAGGGGTTAGAATGACCTGGGTCATGGCAAGCAGACCTCAGGACAGGAACTGGGGACCGTTATTTTCAGCCTCTTTCAGCTATCAGTAGGGCCACGGGAGAAAAATTTAAAAAATGGAACGCGTGCCTTGCAGTCTGCCAGGCCTTGAGACGCGCCTGTCCAGTGCTGGTTTAGTCAACTGGGAAGTAACAAGAGGAGAATTCAGAGCTAATGAGCGGCATCTGGCAGATTAAAGCACCATCGCTGCAAAATACAGAAGGATTGGAAAGCAGAATCGCTTTTATGAATTGTATTTATAGCTTCTTATAGTTCTGGACAACCCTAAGCCCAAACAATCCACTCTCCCAACTTCAACCAACTTTCTTCACCTTGGGCAATGTTTCCGAACCTTGGCAATGCTGGCTGGGGAATTCTGGGAGTTGAAATCCACATATCTTAAACTTGCAAAAGTTCAGAAACACTCGTCTTGGGTATACAATCAAAGGACATGCAAACCAAGAGGCAAGGATGCTGTCTCTAGACTCGGAGTTTGTCTTTTGAGCCCAAATTCCAATATGCTGCTCCAATAAATCCAGGTTAAAAACAAAGACATCCTAAATATGACAGTAGCACAACATAATATTAAAAAAAGAATTTCATTGCTTATATCATTTTCAGCTAGCCAAGGGTGGGGGGGGGAAGGAAGGAAGGAAGGAAGGAAGGAAGGAAGGAAGGAAGGAAGGAAGGAAGGAAGGAAGGAAGGAAGGAAGGAGAGACAATGAGGGAGAAAAAGATGAGCCCAAGGAAGACATGATCACAGCCAGTGGGGAAGGACAGGGAAAGTCTCTTTGGCTGGAATTCCTCATGGCTGCTCTAGAACATTAAGGATCCAAAAGTTCAATCCCAATGGGAATCCCACAAAGTGCATTTTTAGGGTTGACCCCTTTCGCAAAAATGGATCCGTGCCCGGGGCCTGTTGTACAGTAGACGTGCGAGGGGACTCGAGACATCTCCTGCAAAATATTCAATTATGATGCTGGAAGCAATTGGTGATTCCCCGTTTCTTACTACTTTCTTTCCTATCATAAAATAATAATGCCCTTAACAGGAGATTGTGTAATTGGTGGCCTAGACAAGCCTGGGGAAAAAAACACACACACATACATACGACACAAAGAAACCACCAGGAAGACAACAACATAGTACTCTGCTTTACTCTCCAGGAAGAAGGGGGGAGGCAATTGATATATCCTCTGTAGAAGTCAAAGAAGCTTTTGGATGGCCCTTCAGCTGTTTGGCCTGGCCTTTGGGCATCCTGACCCCATCTCTCTTTTTCAGGATTCTGAAGCACCGTATGGCAGAGGTATGACAGAGGACTGGACACAGGCCTTGCCACAATATCTGTAAAGAGCGGCATCCAAGTGTCACCAAACTTTTACCAATTTCTGGCTCCTTCACCTACTTATATTAGGGAAAGGTCTACATGTGAATCTGACTTTCTATGGCTCCATAGATGTGGAACTGAAGCATGGGGAAGGTGAAAATGCCATGGTTCGAGGACCCAGGAAAAAAATTATTAATTGGACTTCTTTGCTGCCCATCTCACCTAGAAGTGACTAAAACACGTACACACTTGAAAATAAGGAAATACTTTTAAAAACAGGGTCATTTGTAATATGGGCCTGATCTTTCCATTTGGAAAATTGCTTGGAATTTTAGGAGGGTAAAATTTAAAACTGAGAATCAGCAGGCTGGCCCTGGTAACAAGAAACTGAAAAGACTTCCTTTTGAATATTTGCTGGCTTCCAACTTTCTCAAGAAGGGTCGGCGACCCAGACAAGTGGGAAGTTTTTTTCCCCCAATAGGCACCAGTAAATTGGTTGGAAATATTTAGGGTGGGGGGGGAATTAAAAAAATAGTTCCTTCTCTTGCAGCTCTTCCCTGTAAGTCAGTGTTTCTCAACCTTGACCGTTTTAAGGCACGTGGACTTCAACTACCAGAATTCTGGGAGTTGAACTCTGTGGAATTCTGGGAGTTGAAGTCCACATGCCTTAAAATTGTCAAAAGTTGAGAAACACTGCAGTGTAAGTAGAAAATGATTTTAGATTCCTGGCTACAGCAAAAAATGTTTCTCTGCATTATTGGAGCATATTCTATAACATTCATGCTGAAAATAAGAAAAAGATATTCCATACTTTACCGCGCATTCAGCATGATTTTAAAACATTAAAGGGATTTCTAGAATTTGGCACATTTAGATCTGGCCCAAGGATTGGACAGCCGGTACAGAGAGAAACCTTTTTCAAGTGAGATGTATCCTGAATGGAAAAACTATTTACCCAACATAGACAACCCACTCAGTATCTTATTTTCTACATCAGTGCCATGAAGCTTGAAAAAGTCCAGTTCTTCAACATCAGGTTCTTAACACTGCACTGAAATTATACCAGATGTGTCTGTTCCTCTGATTCTTCTACTGCGGATGTTACTAAGTTACTAGTATGATTTCAGAGCATTTTTGCATAAAAAGAAAAAATAGCACTATTCCAAGCTTGCTTGGTCTATCCCACACCGGTCAGTAAGGTACACTTCTGGATAATGAACAATTCTGGCCCCTACCTTCAAAACATAGTGGCTAACTTCTGCAGCAGTTACTCCTCACAATTTATTAGAAACATGGTGACCTCAGGAATTTGTGACAAATGTATTGCTTTCCCTTAACTGGCAAAATACCCACTCCCACCCCTAGCTACAAATACCAAGCTGTTGCTTTCAAAGGGAAGTCACAATAAAATCAGTACCTGGGCAGGGAAAACAACTTCCAAATCCTTCTCTTTTTATTCAATATAGGAAAAATAAAGGCATTCCCCAAAGAGAAATTTAGTTGCCAGTTTCAAATCCTTCCCTGGCTATATAAGTGCACACAAAATCGCACAAGAAGAAAGGCCGTCTGCATGCTGCTAGATTTTGCTCCACAAAGAACCTCTTCCAAAGAACAGGCTGGTTGTTGGCAGAATCCAGGGGAAAATCAAGACACACACACAACTCAGTTTAGAATAAGGGTTCAGGAGAAGAAGAAAGATGCTGGGAACCTAGCAAACTGGCACTATCATTTTTTTTAAAAAAGCAAAATAAAATACAAATTAAAGTGTGCTTTCAGTACACGGAATGAAGTCAAATAAATACATTGATTTTTTTTTTAATGTATAGATACATTTTTATATCCTACACCCAGAACTTTATACATTTGGTTTCTTCTTTCTGTTCCTCTTTTTCCTCTGTTTGGAATTTCTGGTAGCAAGAGGAGGTGAACTAAATCACCCCCCCTCTCCCTGAAAGGCTAGTGCAGACACCTCAAAGGAAAACTGCCCACTTCTCCACTATGTGGAGCCCCCTCCCCCTTAAAGGGTCCATTGAAAGAGGCCTAAGGCCAAGAGAGTCCAGGCAGAGGCCGGCTGAGGCTAGCAGAGGCTGACTCAAGGTAGAAGGTGCCATCTGATCTCCAGCGATTGGCAAGAAGGTGATTAACTTTTATCTGAGGACAAAAATAGAAACAGAAAAAAGTGCTGAAAAGAAACCACCAAGGATGTCTATGGAGAGTCTCAATTATCCAGGTCATGGTTGTCCCAAAGGTGCTTTTCCAAAAGGAAACTTGTTTTGTTTTTTCCCTTTGAAACGTTTTGCTTCTCATTCAAGAAGCTTCTTCAGTTCTGAGAATTGAATGCAGATACTGTTTTTACTGATTTCCCAACTCGTGTCAAAATTCTGAACCTGGAAAGATTTGGGGACAATTTTTTTCCCAACTGGCTATTTAGATGCAATTGTTCCTTTCATTAAGGGATGTGCAATATTTTCCAGGCCGAGGGATTACACTTGGCCTTTGAATGGCATGCCAATTTAATCTCCACGAATTAAATTTAATTTTCTTTGATTGACATTTAAATAAATGTCGCCACCACATTTATTCCCTGATGCAATGTATTTAATAATGCACAATATAAAAATGGGGCAACAAAAAATTTTGGGAGTCTTTGTTTAGACAGGGACACTAGTAAATATTAGCAAAATGGAAAATGCTGAGCAGACAGGACACCAGGCCAGAAATGTGCAATCAGCACAATTAGGCATTGATCCATCATGTTTTGTATCCAGTTTTTTTTAAAAAAAACTTAGTGTCATGAAAACTGAAGAATTCAACAAGGTCCACACAGTAACTTCCCTTGGAGCTAAATCCTGCAAAATTATTAACACGTTACTTTCCTATCAGTTCAGTTATATCAGAGAAACAGGACAGGCATACCCAAATGCTCCTCCGTGGTGATGGAGCCAGCCAGCCTATGTTGAAGAAGAGCAGCATAGTTTTCCTCCACTTCCTGAAAAACACAATCCATCAAATACACTTGAAGAGCTTCTGATGAGCTATGATGGTGAACTACTCTAAAGAAACACACTGTGGCCAAAAGTGGTGCTTGGATAGGGGATGCAGGCTGCCAAAAAACTCTAGCAGTGTTTCTCAACCTTGACAACCTCTCTCTCTCTCTCTCTCTCTCTCTCTCTCTCTCTCTCTCTCCTTCAATCCTTTTAAAAAAGTTTACCTACAAGTTTAAAGTTTTGTATAAAAAAAGGGGGGGGGGGAATATGCAGCAAAAGGATGGTTATTGTTGCCATTAGAAAGTTTTAAACAGATTAAAAAGTTCTGAGGGACTTGATTTAAGACTCTGAAGCTAATTGAAAGGATCCCTTGTCAGGGGAAAACCTTTGTTTATCCTGTGAAACTAATAAAAACAACTCTGAATATTGGACACTAGAGAGCACCAAATGGCTACCTTAAAATAAAGGTTTGATCTTTGACAGCAGAACACAAATGCTTAAAGCCAAAGTTAAGCAAGAATCTGTTTATAAGGTAGCAAAACCCACTTCCATTTAGGACACTATGCTCTCATCAAATCTTTGTACTGATCTTAGTACTGTTGGCTCGACTAGATTCCTCTAAATAAAATGTTGACTCTTCTGTTTTTGAGCCTCTAAGGCTTAAATAGGTTTTTGTTTAATTTTGGCTCAAGAAGTTTCAACACCTTGGCTTCGATAAATCAACATTGAGTTCAGCCTTTACATTTCTAACAGTCATTTCTAACATTTTCCAGACATGAAAGCTTGTCTTTCTCAGGGTTATTTCCAAGGTTTTCATTTTTCATTTATGTCTCTAAAAATTAGGACAAATCTTTAATCTTGAGCAACCCTGTCAGCAAAGGGACAGACATAATTATATATATTCTAGAGAACATCTGATTCTCCTGATTTTAGAATTTATAGTGCAGAACTGAGCATTAGTTTGAAAAGATACTGTGAAAAATCAGTCAAGAAGATAAACGCACATGCACCTCTCTGAATGACTTACACCCCACGAGCCTCTTAATCTCCAATCCCTTAAAACCCACTCATTTTTTCTTTTAAATATATAGGCCAAAGATAATACATTTACATGGGACACGCTACCTTCAAATGTTGAAGGCTGGCCTCTATGTTCTGCATGTAACGCATCATCAGGGTACGCGACTCGACAGAGAAGGAAGCCCTTAACACATCTGAACTGGATTCCTTTGCAGCTTGCCAGTGGGAGGCCAGTAATTCCTCTGCAAATGGTGAGCTAGCTGTAACTGGCTGGGCATCCCCTGACCCAGGTTGCTGGCGGGCAGAGTCCATTGTGCTCTTGTCTGCAATGCATTGTAGAACTAGCGAAGTTACCTCTTCATCGGTGGAGCTCTCCTGTACTGTGCCATATCCATCAAGGATCAAATAATTTCCTGGAAAGAGAACAACTTTAATGCTCCCATTTATGAACAGCTCAAGCAAATCAATGGCTTGGGTGAGCATATAACCCAATCTATATGTATCTGTGCACCTCATGCAAACGTCCTTTCTCAATACACTTTTGCTACTGTTGTACCATCGCCAACTAGTTCCCCCCATATTTTGCCCTTGCTCTGGAAGAAAAGAGAGGCACCAATTTGTTAAAAGCGTGTGCCATGTAGGGGAACTGGCAATCTGAATGGGATTTTGAGTGGGCAGAAGGGAAGTCTAACTGGATTTAACCAGTCTTTTATTGCTCCAAAAGATCAGGGAGAAAAGGTCCAACCTTGATGAGACAGCTAAAGGCTGGAATCTGACCCCACACCTCCAAATTCTATTTATTTCTCTTCCAATGCATTTCAAACATATCCAAAGAAACTCTAATTACTACGAACGTTTAATGAGACAATTTAGCATTTAGCAGATACTCTAGGCCTTGTCATGGCTCAGAAGCACTCCAGCCTTCCCAATAACATCCAGGAGCTTTATAACTTGTTCATTTCAAATTTGTACACTGATGGATTGACTTACCTGAGATCCGTAGCTGCACCTCTTCTACCTCCTTCCTCCCATCTACCACTTCACCTTCTGATGGGTTCTCATCACTGTGAGCTTCCTGAGCATCAAAAAAGTGCTCCCCACCATCTTCAGCAGCACTTGTTCCTCCTTCCAGTTCCTTGGTTGGGGGCTCTGGGTTTGTTCTCAAGGAATCCGTCAACTGCCTACTATTCAACACAGGGTCCCCTGGGGATACCAATTCATTTGAAGGCCATTTATCACAACTAAGTTCGAAGACATTTGTTTTTGTCCCCATGGGTGTCCTTCTAGGCCCAGACAGGGTATTGTCATCGTTATCTGAGTACTGAAGTCCTCTCTTGACAATGTTCTCTTCAAGGGCCCCTGGCAGGCCTCTTCTGTGGTCAGAGAAATGCTGCCAGTCTTCAACAGACTCTTGTTCAGTCATACCAAGCTGCTGCATCAGTAATTTCTTCAATAAACCCACTGAAAGGAAATGTGACAGCATCAAAGTAAAATCCTGGTAAGTATTCTCTCTTGAAAGCATCACTCAAGAGGCAGGAGTCCAAAGCCCATGGGGAGGATCCACTGACTCATTGTCTTGCCCTAGAAACTGGAAGACAAGTCAGATTTCTCCAGTCTGGCACTAACTACTATCAGCCTTCAGTCAAATGGCCAGGAGTCAGAGAAGTTAGGAGTTACAGTCCAAGTCACCTTTCACTTAGTTTAGGGAAAGCTGAGCCAAAGTGGAAGACAGTATAAACACAACATTGGTGTTATTATTTGAATACATTCATAGGCTGATAGTCTGATTTTCTTTTACTTAATGTTTGAAAGGCAGATTGCATTCATTTGTTCAAGGGGCAATAAATCCATCTAAATCCATCAGAGAAAATTTCTACCTAGGCCTTTAAGATTCATGTACCTTCAATTACTTACAGTTTCTTAGGGCATCCAATGCACATCGATTTTCTGAAGCTTGGAATGAGAGCTCTGGACTTAATTGGCTGTAATGTTCCGGTGATTCTTTGATCAGCAAGTCTGCTGATAGTTTTTCTCCAAACTGCTTGTTGGCTTCCAGAAGTTCTTCCTCCTCCTCTGACTTCTCAGACATCATTACTGATGGAGACGGAGTCTTCAGCCCCAAATCTTTATCTAACAAACAAACCAAATGCCAAAATGAATGCAAGAGTTTAAAAGAAAGCATAAACAGGAACAAGTACGTGACATTCTTTTTGTCTCTTAGTTCAACTCTTAGCTCTCCTTCTGGAGGGACAGCTCAAATGGCAGAACTTATGATTAGACAGCTACATATTTACAGACTTCCAAATCTTTGGAGGCAGGGAATGTTATGTCAAACAGAATACAACAAATTATTAATGTACTGTTGCTTACTGAATATCTGGAAGAAAGAAGTGGAACACATCTGCAGAATTTTGTATCACAACCTAAGGTAAGGTAATTTTCCAGAAAGGCTCATTTCAATCAAGAAAGCCTTCAAGCTCTCCAGCATAATCAGCAATGCACTGAAATGCCCTTGGTTTTTACCTGGACTTTGCTTGCTGCTATCTGGGGTAGTTTGTTCTTCCTTCAATTTATGCTGGTCATCTTCTTCCTCATGGTCTTCCCTGGAAGCCAAAGAAGGAAAACAAATTAACCACATGCGGCTGTGGAATCCTCACTCACAACTTGTGTCTTTTGAAAAGGAAGAGCTGCTTAGTTACAGGCTATCTATAGAATTAAACACCAACCAAAATGTCTATTTGTTCACACATAGGTATTTTTTCAACTTACTCGCACGGTCCGGATTGTGGCAATGGAATTACATTTCTGCCTCTTCCAACTTTGACGGTTCCTGCCATCTGTACTATGAGGTCCTGCCATCTAAAATAATGCAAATATAAAGAATTTAGTCCAAAATACATCTTCTTCTCTGTCTCCTGGCCACAGGGCACTTTAGTCTCCTTTCTCACTGGACTAAAAGTCTACTCTATCTGTTATAATAACTGTATGGACAGGATGTTCATAAGCAATTCATATCCTTATCTCTTCCCATAAACTATATACAAATACAGATATTCCAATCCGAGCTGAGGTGGCGCAGCAGTTAGAGTGCAGTACTGCAGGCCACTTTAGCTGACTGTGTTGAGCGGGTCAGCGGTTCAAATCTCACCGGCTCAAGGTTGACTCAGCCTTCCATCCTTCCGAGGTAGGTAAAATGAGGACCCAGATTGTTGGGGGCAATTTAAATATATATATATACATTGCTTACTGATGTACACCGCTTAGAGAGTGCTTGCACTTAAAGCGGTATATAAGTCTCATAAATAAATAAATCCAAAGTAGAAAACTGGTGATTTGGACACAAGCTCTATTCCTGTCAGTGTTCCCTTTAAGGTATTGTGTCTTTTTCTACATATGTGTGATCTCTGTGCAATGAGAGTGCCTATGTCGCTTTGAAGTTTCTGCTTGAAACTGAATAGTGCCATAGCCCTATTTTTCATACTTGGGTGCTCTTCTTGAACTAATTGAAACTAAATTTTTGAGAAGAACAGGGCAAGTATATCCTTTCTGTCCTGCTTCTCACCCTACAGCAGAAACATAAGCTGTCCAACTTTTTGCCTAACTGATGACAGATGGCCCTATGTATCTTACTGAAGACTACTAATATTTCCTATGACATGTTTTGAGAAGCCCTGCTGTTGATATTTAATATGTTATTAATTTAGGTTGACTTTAAATGAGGAATACTACAATTTTGTTTCTTGGTTAAGTCTCCTCTAATCTACGTTCCATTTTTATCAGCAGGAGAGAAAGATGACTTTATATGCCATAATGGGAGGAAGAATCCTCAAAGAGTTCTATAAGAAACCCTACAACTTCTAGAGCAGTGTTTCTCAACCTTGACAATTTTAAGGCATGTGGACTTCAACTCCCAGAATTCCACAGCCAGCAATGCTGGCTGTGGAATTCTGGGAGTTGAAGTCCACATGCCTTAAAATTGTCAAGGTTGAGAAACACTGTTCTAGAGGGAAGCTCCTTCATAGATTTGGAACAAAAGATTTATTTCCCTCCTTAACAAGGGATAAATAGTCTGCATTTGCCCAAGTCAACTTACACTGTCTTTTCAGAAACTGTCTGTGCCACCAGTTCATATATCTGGGCTCCATTTTCCGACATGGAAATAACAAAGAATGCTTTATTATCTGGAGAAACAAAGAACAAGTTAAAGCTGACAGAACCTCTATCTTATTTTGATTTAGTAGAATTCAGCTTTGTATATCAGATATGGTTGAGAAGAAGACAGTAGCTGTTGCAGTGACTACATAAGTTTAAAATGGACTTCAGCTGCACAGGTTGAACTGACAGAACACAATTTCTCTTTTCCCCAATCAATTTTCCAACAGTTGGCGTGTTTTGTAAAGTGCTCTGCTAGTTTACTTCAGAAGTCAGTATGCTTCTTTGCTCAGGTGTGACTCTTAATGTTGTATTTCCTACACCTATCCTTTGTGGGAATAAATGTACAGGTGTCATGACTGATATGGGCAATTTTGCATTAAGGATCATCGAACAGGTGAATAGGAAGAGGGCATACAGTTCACTTCTGTTTGTATAAAGTTCTATGAAAAAGTTAGTCCTTCCATTTTTGTCATTAATATCAGAGCTTCTTATGGATGTTACTAATATAAATTAAGTGCTTCAAATATCTAAGACTGATTATGTTTTAATCCTCTAGAAAGCAAATAGCTGAAATTAGCCATTGTTTTATCTTAGCCTAAAGAAAGCAGCAATTCTCACACTTTACCTCTTACAGGTCAGAGGTTTAATTACAGCATCTATTATGCTATTTGCTGGAAAATCAATTATACAAATTCTGTATGGAACACAATTAGGCTCTTTTCCCAAACTGGGTCCTTACAAAGAAGCGCAATTAGGAATATATACTTAAATGAAGGTTAGAGACGAAAAACCAATTTTTAAGGGTAGTCAATTCTAGCAAGCACTTTTATTTAACTGGATTCAAACTGGGCTGCTTCTATTAAGTATAAATCTACTGGGTAGCAGACTGCCACAAGAATATTACCCTCTTATGGCTTTTCCCCAGAAAAATCTGAGGTGGCTATAAAGCAGCAGACTGATAACAAGGTGGTAACCAAACTACATGGATTTTACTGTAGCCCTGTGACCCTGTCTGTATGGGTTGAACTATTGTCTTGTTGCATTATCTACTTGTGTCTGAACTTCAGTTAACAGACAATTGGGGGGTCCTTTAGTTTCTTTATTCAAACTAGGTAACATCATCAGTGCGCTGATGATGTTACCAGGTTTGGGCAATGAAATGTCTACAAGAAAACAATCAAACTCAGAGAATATCAAGGACCCTCATTTCAACCCTGAGCTGCAAATATTCTCCTTTATCGGTAACAGACACTTGGCCTGATATGCTCCTTTGAATGATGGCTAGACATCCATGGTATGGAAATTACCTTCACCAACTGATATGAGGCGTTACTGGAGAATACACTTCTCTGGATCGACCAGACATAATGACATCCATATAGCCAGAAAAGTTCCTGTTTTGACTGAGCTGCTCAAAGAGCATTTTGTCAGAAAACTGAGGTTCAGCTAGATGCTTTCTGACAAATTTGAGAGGAGCATCAAGGTTCTTCTTAATGAGCAATGATTTTCAACTTGCTATTCTTCCCTGAATCCCATCCTTATACCCAAGGACAATGACTGGATTAGACAACACCATTTTTTTCAAAACAATGTTAGAGCCACTTAACATTCTCAGTCCTACTAACCTGTAGCCACTTGGCGAACCAAGACAGTGTTCAATTTAATAACGGGGCTAAATGTGTGCTTGCTATCGGCAGTATTGGCCAGGATCTTGCTGTGACACCTCAACACTAATCTGTCATCTTGTTTCTGCAACAATACCAGAATATCTTCCAAGAGCAATGTATAGAGATCTGCAGTGATAGGAGAAAAACAGAAATGGGCTGTTATTTCTATCTTGTAGGTACTGAAGGCTGCATCCCAAGCAGAAGCAATAATAAGGCATAAAATTTCTCAGCCAGGCATAAAAAGCATTTGGGCCCATCCGTATTTCTGAGAACTAGCTTGAAAACCGCTGCTGTGCCCTCGCACTGCCTTTATTATCTTCCAACCCGTTTCAAAATACTCATTGCTTAACTAGCTCTAAGGAAATTACATAACATCCTCAAGTCTCAATGAAAAGAACAGGTAACAACATACCAATAGTTTTGTCACGATTCACCTTCCAAGTCAGAGGCCCTTCATGAATCATTTTCTTCTTGGTTAGATCTAAATTCTACCAAAAAAGAACAAAAAAAATTACCTATTTTGATTGGCAGATCCTTGGCGTTTTGTTATTTTTATTGTATTTTACTTCCTGCTAGGTGTTTTGGTGTTGAAACTACTTTTCTGGTCACTGCTTGTAAAATTCAAAATATTTTTCAGAAGGACCATCACTACAGATTTGAGGAACCAATATCAGAGATCTTTTAATACCTATTCATCATTTTATTTGTTCACCAGAAAAAGGCAGAGAGTTATTTTGATTATCTCACTTCATAATTATCGTAGGTAGGTCATTTTGCACCAAAGAATTTTAATCTGAGAAGAAGGACAAAAAGGGACCTCATATTTCCCTTTCAAGCCTCCCTTTCTAGGCAATAATTCTCATTTTATATAGCCTGATCCAGCCTGCTGATAAATCCAGGTCCATCTGTGTTCTGAGCAGAACTGGCCCCAAATGCGGTGAGATATGTAAAATTTTCCATTCTTTTTGCTTTGTGGTATCTTAAAGTCCAAATACCGGATGCAATAATATTGGATAGAAGCAGAAGCACAAAGAACAGCAAAGTACATTTATGAATGCTTAACACATTTCAGGATCCCTCGTTTCTTTCACTCACCCTGAATTCATCCAGCAAAGGGCCCTCCACCTGCTTCAGGTAGGACAAATCAAGCCGCCGCTGGTAGTCCTCTAAATGCTGTTGAGAAAAGAGAAACTCAAGTCAGTTATTCTGGCCAAGGACAATTGGCTGAAGGCAGGCAATAATTGGTCGATCTGGGATCCCTTTTAAAACAAAGGATAGACAAAGGATAGCCTTCTCATTTATAAACCCAGAAACCTACCTCAGAGCCAGCAGTCCCTTCAGCTTTTATAAATCAAGTTATATCTCCCTCTTCTTACCTGCTTGTTCTCGGCTTCTTTGACAGCTTGGTTCACAAAATTGAGAATCTGCCGACAATGATCTGCTGCTTTCTTCACTTTTTCCTTCTCTAAAGGTTGCTCTAAAAATGAAACGGGTGAAATGTGAAACAATAAGAATGAAACACATAACTGCACACTCACTCATTCTCAAGACAAAATGCATTCCTTTGTCTGCTAAGACAAAATAGTTGAGACAAAATGTGAATGCCCCACATTTTCAAGCTTCTTTTAAGCAGCAAATTATAAAGATGAACTTTGTATCAAGGCTTTATGAAATTTATGCATTAATATTATAGATAAGAAGAATGCAAAAAGGGAAGAATGGCAATAGCAAAAAGGAATACCCAGAATATTTTATTTCATTATTAACGATCTAATTTTTTAAATTACTTCTCATCACTTCACTCCTTCACCTGGAGGAAGATAAGGGAATTTCAGAAAGATGAAGCGGTACTGAAATGGTGGCAAATTATTTTTCAACAGAATTTGTCAATTTAGGTTTCAATTTGAATCCAAATAGTTCTCTGTAACTGCCACATCCCAACCCAGCCACAAACAAAATGGGTTACATGGTACCTGAGTACTTTGCAATATTATCCAACAAGAGGGGATACTTGGTGAGCCGTTGCATCTCAGTGGGAATAATATCTTTTAGCTGTAATCGGCGACACAGTGGATTGCTCTCAGCTTCCTAAATGGAAAAGGGGCAAGTGCATTTGTAATTTTTATTAAGAACATAATTACCTGAATTGATACTGCCCTATAAACGTTTTAGTGGTTCACGTTTCAGGCTAGAAAATACAAGTTAAGGAACACCAAGATTAAGCAGAAATGCAAACAATCCTATTTTAGTAAGCAATTAGAGGAAAAGTCCAGCGTGAAACCTGGGAACAGTTTCCGCTAATCATTATTTCAGCCTTAATATGATCAGCAATCAATCTCAGTCACAGGCTTAAAGGAGAAGGTAGCTTAATTTTTTTGTGCCATGTAAAAAATACAAAATATTTTAGAATCCCAACCACCCAGCTGAGAAAATTAGCAAAGATCTTCCATAAATCAAGTGAGATACTTGGCATTTAATTCTTTTTTCTCCTTCCGTTTTTTAAAAACTAAGACGCAGCCTCAGAAAGCTTTTTTTTTTTTTTAAAGAGCTCAACTTTGGAAATGAATGGATGCTTTGTCCTCACCTCCAATCTCTGGGAGCCCTAAAGCAAGGATCCGCTAGATGCCAAACCCCCAATATTTACCTGGACGAAAGTCTGGAAGCGTGAGTCCTTCTTTTGCCGTGACTTGATCACCTCAAGAGCAAAGGGTTGGTTGCTACAAAAGGTAGCCGTGGCTTGCTTCAATTTCTCTTCGCCTGCTCCACTGAACTGGGATGAGAATCCACAGGTACAAAATGTAAAATAAAATGTAAACCATGAACGGTGATCTGCAGGTATAATGCTAGCATGAACAATTATTTTACACAGTAGATGGATGCTTGGGGACAAAACATGTTTCTATGTTACCAAGTTCATGGGAAGACCCACTTGCCTCTTTCTTTCTATCCTTGTACAGACTTTGGAAAATAGGGGTTCCTATTACTAATGAGCTTTCCATGTACAGCTCCCAAGATTAAATGATAATTATCATAAAACATATTGCTATTAAATACCAGCATGCCTCATTTTTATGAATCCCGATTAACCCCTTAATGCCCTGATGAATGCACTTTTGTATTTTTTGTATTTGCTGCACTTTTGTATTTTAAACATTTTTACTTGAATCCAGAACCTAAAAGTGAGAACTTATAGTCTGAAACTCTCCAAGTTGATTAATAGCTTTGTCTTCCTATCACTTCCAAGTTTTGCACTCACTTGACTTTGTGAACAACTTTTAGAGGATAAGAAGTCCTTTTTTCTTTAAGAGGTATGGTGACCTTTAAGCTAAATTACCTTATTCACATATTAATTATATAAGAAAGTCACTCAGCTAGATATTTCTTAGCAGAAGCGAATACATGCATGCTCCACGCTGCCTAACCTTCCTATCTTAATACTGTCCCTTTTATTTATTTCTCCCAGAATGGAAGAGTTTCAGATAATAGGTTTCTAGACAAGATAAATGCCAAGGCGGATTTGTAGCTCAACTGATATATTATTTCTCAAACATTTCAATTCTCAGGAAAAAACTTGTGTGGTTTTTCATATGCACACACACAAACATTTAATTTACCCAAGTTAACAAATCTTCTCCAATTTGATCAATTACAGATGTCTCGTTTCTTTTCCTCACTGCTTTCATCTGCTCATTCAGTCCAGCTAAGTAGCAAAGAAAAAGAAAGACGGAGAGATATTTTGAAAAACCAAAGTAATTGCCTGAAACCAGTGATACTTAACTACTGGTTGGTTCAAGACCAGCTTCTGAGTGTTTATAACAACCAGCCACATAAAATATGCTTTTTTCCCCCCTTCCTTGCATTTTTCTGCAAGTGCAGGATCCGCTTTGTTTTCAGATCCACCTCTTGGTCAACCTATTGGTCGTGACAGCAATTGACTGATCCGTTTAATAGCCAAAACTGACATTGTGGGCTGAGAGAGTGACTGGCCCAAAACCACCTAGCTGGTCTTCATACCTAAGGCAGGATAAAACTCAGTCTCCTGATTTCTAGTCTGGCATTTCAACCACTAGACCAGTGGTGGAGAACCCATGGCACGCATGCCAGAAGCGCCACTTGGGAGTCCTATCTATTGGCATGCGTGCCGTTGCCCCAGCAGAGTTCGCCAGAGTAGTGAGCACAGGGCGTTTGGAAGTGACAGGGCAGGAAGTGAGCGAATAAACGGCATTGGCCCCCCGGAGATGGCAAGGGACTGGCGCCGGCCACGCTCACCCAGTCTGCCATGACCACTGCAGCCACGCCCACCCAGTAGGCCACACACCCCACACACCCCGGGGGCACCACAATGCTGATGCAGCCCTGGCACTTTGCAATAAACAAGTGGGTTTTGGGGTGCAGTTTGGGCACTCGGTCTCTAAAAGGTTCGCCATCACTGCACTAGACCAAGCTAGCTCTCTGTAGTAATACAATACAATACAATACAAATACATATTGAATTGTTTCGCTGTTCAGTGTGGTAGCAGGGAAGCAGTCTTCTCCCAGGTTATTTTCTTGAAAAATATTTTTGAGGAACCAAAAATAATCAACCCCATAAAATCACCCTCCTCTTTGTCATCATTTTCCACCTCTATTTAATAAACACCCTTTTCGTTCAATAGATGGGATTGACTCACAGAGTGAATTAATTTAAAGTCTGAGACAGGATAAGAAGCTCTTAGTAAGCACATATTTAAGCATCGTTTTACTCTAGTACAGTGGTTCTCAACCTTTTTAATGCCACGACCCCCAACCGGTCGTAAGTCGAGGACTACTCAACCAGTCGTAAGTCGAGGACTACTCAACTGGTGCAGCACCGTTTGCAGACTGGGGCTTTTGCCGGGCTCAGCAGGGCAGAGACAGCCTGGACAATTCCTATTGGCTTTTGAAAGCCAATAGAATTAGACTCTATTCAAGAGAGTCTATTCTATTGGCTTTCAAAAGCCAATAGAATAAAAGGGAGTAGCACAGCTAAGGAAAAGGGGGAAAAAAATGGTGGACTGCGTTGTTTGGCGACCCCCGTGAAATGGTCGTTCGACCCCAAATGGGCTCCCGACCCACAGGTTGAGAACCACTGCTCTAGTAGCTTAACATCACCCTTTCTCACACATACAAACAGCTATACGGCACAATCTGAGGTCCTAAAACAGGGGTCCCCAACCCCCGGTCCGTGGATCACTACTGGGCCACACCATGCCAGCAACCGGTCCGCAGAAACTAGCAAAGCCCCATCCGCGGGATGAGGGCAGCACACAAAACCACGCCCCCTCTGGTCCGCGGAAAAACCTCTCTCTACGGAACCGGTCCCTGGTGCCCAAAAGGTTGGGGACCTCTGCCCTAAAACACCAGGCAGCCCTTCAAGCCTCAGTGCAGCCTTCAGAAGGAAAAAAAAAACAAACAAACCAGCAACCCAGGACTGTTTTCTCGGTCACTTTCACATAAGACTGAGTAAGTGCTTTATTAATCCAGCAGTCAGATAGTCTCACTCACTATGAAGCTGGAGGATATCCTCCAGGTTCGAAAATATTTTCCGCAGGTCAGGAGCTGTCAGAATCCCTTCACGGGACACACGCTGATAGAACAAGTGATCCAGGACTTTCAGCTTACGGACATGAGCACGTTCAGTGTAGAATAATTCTGGAACGAAGGACAACGAACAGAGTCACTGTGATAGTCTTCATAAGGGAGAGAAGGGATTATATGAAGAATGTGCAGAAAAAAACACCTTCAGAATAATATTAGGAGGTATTCCCCGAAGGTAACAATTGATAAACAACAAAACAAATAAACCCCTCTAGATACATAAGAATCTAGATTGCATATGCCAACTGTCCTGAACTGCCCCAAATATACCACAATTGGCCGTGCCTTCAGAGCTATGGCAATCTAACCTCCCTCTCATCTTCCCAGGAATCTTCCTCTGGACAGTGTGACTGAAAGCCAACGCTGCAGTTTTGAAGGTGGACATAGCACCTTGGTTACAGAAAACAATGAAACAACCAAGGCTGGAATTCCTCGGATTCTCTCCCACGTCTCCTCCATAACTCACCATTAATCACTTCCTGGCGTTTAATTTCAGATGGTTTCAGGCCGAGCAACACTTCACGGCTCACCAGCTGCTGCCAGTTGGGCTGGTCTGTCTCCATGTCAAAATCAAAAAGTTCATCTTCACTCTGGACGTCCCCAGCACTCACACTGTCCATCCTAGGAAGAGGGAAAGGAAAGGCCTCTTTAACTTGAGCAAGGCACGCTGCCGGAAGAGTAAGAAAAACAAACTAAAAATGATAACACAGCCTGGGTTTTTGGTGACTAAAATTTGCCTTAGGGTTAGAAATGAGATCTAACCAAGCTTTGTATTGTATCCTCAGTTACTTCCTTTTCTATATTTTAGGTGGAGAGAGACCCAAGGCTGCAGCTCAGCAAAAAGGGGAAAGGTACATTTCCCAAGGACAATATAACAATTAATGAAATTATAATGAGGATCTATTTGCCCTACACCGTATCTAGGTTTCACAGAAAAACTTTATATGGATGTATTTGGATTTCTAGTTGTCTCTATCCAAGGTCAATGAAGATGCTTTTTCTTTCTTCTGCTGTAGTCAGATAATGTAAGAAACTATTGCCAAATCTATTTTACACACATGTAGACTTGTACTCACTTGCGGAAAGGTTTTGGAGTCCCTGATTCTCCTAACCTAGAAAGAAAACCAAACTTTTATGAAAACATTACTGGATAAAGTGATTTTTTTAAAATTGATCACTTTAGAAAGAGAGTTCAATAGTAGCTCAAGATGAACTTCATACCACTGAGGAGCACAATTATAAAAAACTAAAAACAGTGGTCGACAATCAAAACATCTAGGCCAGTGGTTCTCAACCTGTGGGTCGGGACCCCATTTGGGGTCGAACGACCATTTCACGGGGGTTGCCAAACAATGCAGTCCGCCATTTTTTCCCCCTTTTCTTTGGCCACGCCCCAGGTACCCAGTGATGTATAAGTGGTTGGGGTCACCACAACATGGGGAGCTGTATTATGGGGTCGCAGCATTAGAAAGGTTGAGAACCACTGATCTAGGCTATCATCTCTCTTGTTCTAAAACAGTGTTTCTCAACCTTGACCATTTTAAGGCATGTGGACTTCAACTCCCAGAATTCCACAGCCAGCACTGCTGGCTGTGGAATTCTGGGAGTTGAAGTCCACATGCCTTAAAATGGTCAAGGTTGAGAAACACTGTTCTAAAAAGACATGCCGTACTTAATTCTCATATCGCTAAATTACAAAAGTTATTGCTTAAGTTAGAGGCTAAGACTTGCCTATCAACTTCTCCTTCTTCTTCTTGCAAATGGTCCAGGGGAGGAGATGGAAAATCAAATATGATGCTAGGCGTACAAGGGGTACCGTCCACAGAATCACCAGAATTAACTGTTTCTCCACCTTGTTTTGGCCCTAAATATAAGCACAGAACAAATCAATAAGGCAGAGGGCAGGCAGAGCTGTATTTAATATCAAAACTACCCATTTCTCCACCTACTTTGCCTAGGGTCACCTCATCTCTCGAATGAGATAAGTGGCCTTTCAAGAGTCAGAAATCTATACAATGACAGTGACCTGCATGACAACGGAACATTTTTCTCTTGCAACTGGAAAATGAACAAAGGCTGTGATGCAGTTTTTGACAATGATGTCAATTCACCTGTTTCGCCATCTTTACTCCCTTCCTGAGATGGAAATATTCCGGAAGCTGCTGGAGATACAAAGTTAGCAGGCTGGAAGGCTGCATCCATGCCATCACTGATCCCGCTTTGGCGCATCTTGACCAAATCTGGTGGTTCCGGACTGACGGAAGACGATGAGGATAAGTGCTTTGGATGGCGCTGTTTTTGTATCTCCATGGCTCTGCCTACTGGGTGAATAAGGAGTAATCAGCAATGCAGAAAATTTACTCTCTTCTGAAACCTGAAAAATACATCCACCGTAATCTAGCAACATTTAGTTTCAGGGCACTATGATCAAACTCACTAGAAAAATAAAACACCTATATCTTCAGTTGACATACTTGCATAGCTGTCATGGCGGCTCGGCCTCCTTGGAGGTCCCAGGATATTTGAGAAGACCCTCCTCTTCTTTTCATCCCCTTCCTTATCTTTCTTCATACTTTGCTACAGTGGAAAAGGAACCAAAGAAATAATTGTCAAAAGTGTGTTCTCAGGCAACCATTTAAAACATGAGTGTTCAAACTTTTGCCTTGCCCGGGCCACACTGAGTAAAGAGGAATTGTCTTGGGCCGTATAGAAAAAAATATATACTGCTCAAAAAAATAAAGGGGACACAAATGTATAGGATTCTATACGTTTGTGTTCCCTTTATTTTTTTGAGCAGTATATAATTAATGCATACAATTATCGCTAAAACTCACATAATTATGTTAAAGGTTTACGATCTTGTGGGGCTGCATTATTAGCTGCCCAAGGCTGCATGTGGCCTGTGGGCCATGGGCTGAACCTGCCTGATTTAAAAGGAAAGTTTTAGTTACTCTGCAATTCAGAACTAACACGTGATCTTGCTCCACTCTCTTGCTCCCTCAAGATGGAAACAAATTGTTGTGTGAATGCCAACAAGAGACCAACACAAATAGATGCATGGTCTCCTGGAACATTTAGTGCCCAAACAGGAAACTGCAATGGTCTAATGAAAGGGACCAATCCACTGAAATTCCCTTAGCAGGCCCTATTAAAATGGAGCCGCTTTACAATGTTGTACTGATGCCCTTAATTAAGTTTCAAAACTGATACTTTTCACTCTTTTGCAACAGCTTCCAAGGAATTCAGTTTCTGATACAAGACCTAATATACTTTCAGTCCATGCAATAAAGATGTACATAAGGCTTAATTCTGATTCTCCTCCAGTGTAGCTAATTAAAGTGACTGTACATAGGATATACTCTAGTTTGTCCCCAACATCAGATTCAGAGACTCTATTTTCTACTAGATACAATTTTTCTTCTATTGAAGGAAAAAGCTTTTGCAATAGGCTCAAAGTGGCAGAGACACATGGTACTATTTAACATCACAGTTGTGCTTTGTCAACATCATGTTATTAAAATTGTTACTTACCAAGTCACCTAGACAGTAATTCTGATTTTTTTTAAAAAATATCAACTTTACCTTTATCTTTGGCAGGAATCCAATCCGTCCCCGTTTTTGGTCTAGGTTCCGGGGTTCTTTGACTCGTACACCAAGGTGCTTCATGTAGGTGAGAATAACATACTGTATAGCTGAACTATAGATGAGACCAAACAGAAGAACAACATCAAGTAACTTCAATGAAGGAATGCCAAATGAGTTTCTCTCTTTTCCAATATATTTTTCTGACACTGACAATAATTTATATTGTTATGACCCGTAGGAGGAAGTGAAGAGCTACCTACAGATGATTATGTCTCTAACATTTCTATTATCTTATTAATGAAATAATCAAAACCATTATAATCCTAAAATTGTTGATTTAAGTGGGAATTAGTAATAATAATAATTGAAAGAAAAATAATGCAACCCAAAAAGTATTGAACTGCAACTTCATTATAATAGTCATAAATCCAAACTACAGGAAGGCATGTAGTTTTAAATTCAGTCGCTGCCATTTCTCTTAAAGTAGGATGTGGGATAGAATGGCTGTGAAAGATCCCTTGCCTGTTATTAGATTAGAGCCAGCTCCTGTCAGATTATACTGTATATTGGTGTAAAGGAGTGTAAGAGAGAAGACTATGCAGAAGATAACTGTAATTTGCCTAAGCAGCCAATAGAGGTTTCCACCAGTTCAGCACATATAAACCAGAAGGGAAAGACTTAGGGCAGTGGTTCTCAACCTGTGGGTCGGGACCCCATTTGGGGTCGAACGACCATTTCACGGGGGTCGCCAAACAAGGCTGTCCGCCATTTTTTCCCCCTTTTCTTTGGCCACGCCCCTGGCACCCGGTGATGTATAAGTGGTTGGGGGTCACCACAACATGGGGAACTGTATTATGGGGTCGCGGCATTAGAAAGGTTGAGAACCACTGACTTAGGGTGATTGTAACCAAGGTTTAATTACCTCTTATCCTCTTCTAGAGGCTGAGATGACATCCTGCAGAGGAAAGAGGCAAAAATTAATGAAAATGGCAGTTTCACTGTTCAATATTTACCCTCATTTAGACTAACAAAGGCTGGATTGTCCTTCAAGCCAACTTGTTATATACTACCATAGTAATAGGGCCAGAGGGTTAAATGTTAAAAGGAAGAAGTGTCAGAGGTAGAGTACATAAAAATTCCACATTCTGTTGTTGAAAGTTGTCAGCAAGAAGTCTCACATCATGACAAAAAAGGAACCAAGATTTGATAATCTAAGGCAGGGCTTTTCAACCTTTTCATCCATTGTATCACTTTTAGGATATGGCAATATCCGAGTACCACCAGTCGCTTAGCAAGGTGTCAAAAACTTGATGACCAAAAAAAAAAAAAAAAAAAAAACCCAGGAAAAAAAGTGATAAAGTACAGGTAGTCCTCGACTTACAACAGTTCGCTTAGTGACTGTTCAAAGTTACAATGGCACTGAAAAAAGTACCCCCCAAGCCACAGCTGAGCAAGACACCTGCCTGCCCACCCGGCCGCGCTCTTCCTCCTGTCCGAGGTTTTCATTGTTGTGAGCATTTCTGTTGAGGATTGACATTGGGGGTGGGGTGGGGGGTGTTTGTTTTTTATTCCCTGTCTGCTGGGTGGTTGCAGCAGGTTTTGGTCACTTCACATGACCCTGGGACACTATGACCATCATAAATATGAATCAGTTGCCAAGCATCTGAATGTAAATCACAAGACCCTGGAGATGCTGCAACATTCCAGATGATCGGCGCTTCTTCTGGGCTCAGCAGACGTGCCAGGATCAGTGCTGCTTTCCAGCTGATTGGCGCTTCTTTAGGGCTCAGCAGAAGCACCAGGATCAGCGCTGAGCTCCAGCTGGAGCCTCGCGCTGATCCTGGCGCTTCCACTGTGCCCTGACAGCCCTGCAGCTCCAGCCATCTCTCGCTCAGGCTTGTGCGGTGCTGCCACCGGTTCAGCTCATTCCCCTCTCCCGCTACCACTTTTCTAGAATGGTCCGTACCACCTGCCAGGTGCCAATGTACCACAGGTGGTACCCGCACCACTGGTTGAAAAGCCCTGATCAAAGGTATCTTGTACTTGAATGTAACTACCACAGCTAGTTATAATTAACAGGCATACCACTAATCTTATGGTTGTCAAGACTTCTTTTCTTCTGCAAAACATAGGCTTTGCTTTGTGACAATTCATCAGCAGAAATAATTAAATATTGCTGGGCCCCAGCTCCATTTTTAAGAGCTGGACTAACAGCTCTTAACAGAACACAACACTCTGATCTACCTATCAAATTCATCTCTGGGGAAAGATGCTAATTTCTTTCCTCACCAAGCTCCCTCCTCTGTAGAAGACAGCTAAAAGGTTTTGTCTGTCTCAGGCATACATACAGCACATCTTCAATTTTGGTCAGGATTTGCTCTGCACACGCTCTCTCCTTCTCTAAGGTCATCCGGTCCCGAACACGTTCTGCATCCAGCCTGGTCAATTCTCCTTCTGCCAGGGTGAGACCCATGCTGCGTTTCTGTCTGAAGGCACAGAATAAAGACCGAGAAACTGTTGTGGGCACAAGAAGGGAAGCATAGGATGCCCACCTTCAGAACTGTAAGGAAGTGGGCCACCGACGCACCAGGCTATTCTTAAATATGCCTTTGGTATCTCAGTGAATACAATCAGTTAAAAAGAATACATTATATATTATCTTATGTGAAAAGATGACAGACAGTCCTCACTTAACAACTATTCGTTCAGGGATTGTTTGAAGTTATGGCAGTATTGGAAAAAATGGTAGTTACAACCAGTCCTCAAAGTAAAAACCACTGCACCACCCTTATGGTCACATAATCAGAATCTGGGCTCTTGGCAGCCTGGCTGCATTTAAGACTGCAGGATATACTGGCTTAGATTAATTTCCAAAAATCCTCAAAATGACGACGGATACTTTGCAGGAAGTATTCCCTAAAACACTACAAATAAGCAATAACTGAGCTTCAAAGTGTGCACAAGATTTAACCAATAAACAATATGTACCTAAAATCTTCAAGGTGCTTTTGTACTTCGAGAGACACTTTTTCTTGCATAGCTTGAATACAGTGGCGTTGGAATTCTTCAGGAATTAATTCCAGCCTTCTCTTTTCTGCAGATAAGGAGGAAAATCCATTTTATTTAGAACAAAATAATTAGCTGATTTTTTTTTTGCTTTTAATTCTGCAGCACAGATTTTTTTCTATCTAATGATTGAAAGCTTTACCTCCCCACTGAGGGCTCACATTACTCAAATACAATTTTTCCTACCTCCCAAATTACATCTGTTGATCTATATTAAAAAAAATGCTACATGGCTACAAAATCCACCAGAATCTCTCAAAAAGCATGAATGTCTAAGTTCTGAAACAATCTTATCTAGATTTATTTTCAATCATCTTACCTAAATCACTTGCAATTTCATCTGGAACTGGGACTTTCAGATTCTGCACAAAATAAAAAGTAAAGAAAATTCTTCTTTTGATCAATTCTGAGATTAATGTTCTTCCAGCTCCTGAGTTCTGCTGAGTGTACATCATTCCAAGGTGCATGTATGTGCACAATAACAACACGCATAAAAACCTTTTCCCATTCAGGTAGTCCTCGACTTACAAACACAACGGAGCCCAAAATTTCCACTGCTAAGCACAGCCGTTATTAAGTGAGTTTTATCCCGCTTCTGACCTTTTTGCCACAGTTGTTAAGTGAATCACACACTCATTAAGCGAATCCGGTTTCCTCCACTGACTGCCTCTTGGAAGCCAGCTGGGAAGGTTACCAATGGTGATCCCATGACCCCAGGATAGGGCAACCGTCATAAGTACATGCTGGTTGCTAAGCATCCAGTTTTTGATCATGTGGCCCTAGGGATGCTGCAACGGTCGTACGAGTGAAAACAGGTCATAAGCCACTTTTTTCAGTGTCATTGGGACTTCAAATGGTCACTAAACGAATGGTTGTAAGTCAAGGATTACCTGTACCCATTTCCCTGGATCTAAAACAAAATGTAATCTACCTTCAAAGTGTGAGTGATTCGGTCTCCCCCCCCAAAATGAGTTACCAACGGCTGATGATCTAATTTCAAAGATTCCAAGCCCACCAAAACAAGAAATAGAAGATTAAAACAAGAACGTGTATCCTGTAGATTCTCTGTATGTGTTTGGAACTTACTGCCGCTCGATCCAGAAAAAATTGATTAAATTCAGCAAACACTCGACGAGTCTCTTTGGAATTTGTTTGTTTGTACAGGTCCGCAAACAGGTAACAGAGCTGCATGGACAGAAAACATTAGTACAGTAAATGATAAAAATTAAGCAGAAGCCTAATTCTACCTACAAATGTTTCTTTCAGGTTTTAAAGGGTGTTTTCACAGGGATGACATCTTCTCAAAGGGTTAGAAAATAATATTTTTTTTCTCAGGCATTAATTTCTGTGACCAAGCTTTGCACAACATTTATAGCATTAGAACAAAATAGTTGTACCCTACTCAACCGATATCAGCCTTCCTCAAACTGATATCCTCCATATCTATTGAATTGCCTGACAGATTACAGTGGCTGAGGTGAGATTGGAATTGGTTCAACATAGCTGGAAGGGGACAAATTGAGAAAGATATACTTAGGCTGAATGGGATTTCAGAACCCATCTGATCCATAACACAGCATCTTACCAAAGAAGCAGGGTCAAACTGGGAAATGACATGATGCAAAAAGACAGCCAGGTGAGCAGGACGTGATTTCAGTAGCTCTATATTCTGGAAACAGCTACACTGCCCGTTGATCTGTAGTGACAGCATGGATATTTTCAGAATGAGTACTCCATACTCATGGAGCACTTCATATTTCCTCCATCATAAAACCCCCATTCTGTTATTTTTGTACTTTAATATTTTTAAACCACAAACCCTTTTCTGGGACTCCCTTATGAATCTCCAGAGAACCAAAAGCATGCATAATGAGAAAGTAGTTCTTATATGCTGCTGCCAAAATTCAAACCAGATAGACAGTTTAGGTCTAAGGTAAGGCACTTTATATTGGTAAATCTTATAATTATATACTTATAATTTGTAATCAATATAAAATACTCAGGTACTTTATATACTGATTACAAATGAGTATACAAAACTGCTTTCACAAACCCTTTAGGAAATTGAAGTTGTTACTGGAAACCTATCAGTATATCTTTCAACAAACGTCAACAGAATTTCCTTAAAATGAATCCTCTATCCAAATTTGGGGTAATAGTTGTAGTAAGGTCAGATAAATTAAGCGGAAGAAAGTAATCACATGGCAGCTTTGCTATTATGGTTGGCAGGCTAAGATCATACCTGTTCTTGTTCACCATCAAAGTCATCGTCTTCTGCTCCTATGATTGGAGGTGCCACACGAGAGGAAGGGCTTCCAAGGCTGGATGGAGAATCCTGACATTGTCAGAGAAAAGAAATCAGTGTAGTTTCTATTTCAGTGTGTGCAAATATTACAAGGGCATTTTCCCCTGACAGTTCTATACACTAGAAGAAAACAAAGATTTTTTTTTTAGAAAGCATTTATGGATAAGCATTATACTTCTTGGTTCCAGTACATTGTACACATTGTGAGCACCTATATAAAATAATCCGATCAAATAAAAATGAAGTGTTCTATCAAAACCGCTATTGTTCACATTAAACCAAATGACGCAATCAGCTACTGAAAGTAAAGATAGCTTTTGTTAAACAGCTGCACAGCCTGCCCTTAAACCAAATATTTGAGCCACTACAGAAGCTGGTACTTTCACTGAAGTACTGTTATATGGAGGAGTGTAGACTGTCCAGAAAAAAAAAAAAAGGCAATGGAATTTGAAGGAGGGAGGAGGCAAAGAAAACATTGGGGGCCTACATCCTTTCCAGCTGGATTGCTCCCTTCCTACCGTGGAGACATTAACCCAAACTGCCCTGTAGGGAAGAAAAAAAGTCATATGTCAGGTCCCGTTTTAATGGAGCTGGCTGCTTTGTTTTGTTTGCAGTGTGTGATTCTTGCTGAATCTGTTATATGCTTATAAACATTGTCATCTGATTTTGAGGACTTTGAAAAACAGGATACACATCTGCTAAGTAAATTAAAAACTGGTATGTGGAATACCGCCATGCCAGTCCAGTAATAAACCCTCCCCAACAAATTACAGGCCCATGGGAAAAACTTTCTTTGCTTAAGAAAAACCGGTGTCCTCCCCCCTTGATTTTGGCCAGACGTGGTGGACGTTTAGAGGGTGAAAACTTGAGCTAAAAGGCCTGTTCAATGAATGTTTTCAATAGAGAATTACAGGGTGTGTTTCTGTTACAACTGATACTTCTTGACATAATACTGTGAGGTCAATATCCGCATGTCTTTGAAACTTCCAGGGTTGCTGGTTTTCTTTCCTCAGAGGAAAGATACACATTCTCTTCCTTAATACCAAGGCAGAACTAATCAAGCATGGCTGCTGCCTTTGCCTTTGGCAACTTTAAGACTTATGGACTTCAAATCCCAGAATTCCCCAGCCAGCCATGCTGCCAAGGTTGGACACTCCTGGATTAGAAGCTGCAAACTTTGTGCCTTTTTATAAGAAGGCCTCCCTACCTGGCTTAATTTTCTTATTAATTTTTTTGTTTTTTGGGTTCTTCTTTTTCTTTTTCTTCTTTTAATTTTTTATTATTATTATTATTTCTTAGTTTTATATTGGTGTTAGAGTATTTTATAATTTGTCTAATGATTGTAATCATAATTTTTTTTTGCTTTTTATATATTGGTCTTAAAGTATTTTATAATTTGTTTAATTATTGTAATTAATTGTTTATGGTTTACATGTGTTAAAAAAATTTTCTTTTAAGTTTTAATTAAGCCTGTATTCAGCTCTGGGAAGGTTGGGGGAGGGTTGGGGTGGGTTGGGAGGGTTTGGGGAGGGGAATCTTTTTTTTTTTTTGTAAAATCTTAAAAATTTTCAATAAAAAAAAAAAGAAGGCCTTCCTACCAAATTAGGAACTCAAGATCACGGATTAAAAAAGGAACAGTCGCTTCTCAAGTGTACATACAGACACGGAGCATTAATCTCTCTCACACACATACACTCAAAATTAACAGACTGGGAGACCCTCTGTAGGGTAAGAGGCAGACATCTCTCCCAGCTTTGCCACCACGGACAGAAGTGCTGGAAACAGAACTTGAAAATGCCTGCAGATAGGCAAATGTCAAGGAGCCATTCTCCATAAATTGTAATGAGAAAGTTGCACTGCTAACTACAAAACCTTAACAGATGGAAGTATTCAATCAAGTACAAACAGCAACACGGATTTCTGAAATCTTTGAGCAGTCTCGCTTTATAAAAATCTAATTAAAAGTTGAGCATGCAACTACAAGGTCAAAAATCCAGTGGCACCTCAATAAGTGAAAGAGGAAGAAAGAACACGGAATTCGTCCATGGTTAGTGCAGAGATTTCTATCAGAATACTTATGGTGCTCTTACTGTTTCATGAGTCTCAGTCTTCTCTGGGCTGTCATCCAGATAGCTCTGCTCTCTCAAGACACTCCGAGGACTCTAAGGAGAAGAAGTGAAAGAACACTCCCTCAGTGTTTACTGTGTTAAAAAGGAAGACCCAACAAAAGAAAATAGCAAGTCCAACAGCTATAATTTAAAGAGGATGTGGGAGACTAACTTAAAAAAAAAAAAAAGATTTGGGCATATATATTGTTAGATGCTTTCATTCAACCTTGCTTTCCTATGTTCCATTGTATACATGTCAAATGTTGATAATTTTAATTTCAATGTCTGATTGCTTTTAATTCTGTATGAGACATAAAAATACCACATTCTAATAATATTCCAGTTCGTTTTGAAACACAAACTCAAGTCAGACTCTGTAAGGCTCAATGGTTCCTTAAGGGAATAAAAATAATAATTTTCCAAAATCAGCTCACAATACATGGAATCGTGTTTTCTCTTTCCACAGTGGATTCAGAATCTCCAGTCAGACTCTATCAACTGAACGTTATCCAGTTTGATGCTATTAGTAAGTACCACAATGCTGAACTTAATCTTCACAGTGGCAATAAACAGTTTTGGTTCACAAACAGAACCACTGCAATTCATTGGTGGGGCCAGTTTAAAGACCACACTAAGATAACCAGTCAATTGTAATGACAGGAAGCACACACAAAGAGCAGGAATTTAACAAATGTGAGCTTATGTCATGTTCATTCCACAGTTCATATTTTGAGAAGGTCATAAGTGCTTGTCCCTCAAAGCTTCATAGTACTAACACGGATTTTACTTGTGCACAGAGTCTGACTACCACACTTTAGTCTTGTCAGTTATCTCCAACATTTGCAGGACTGGGTCAACAGCTTTTGACCCATCTCCTGAAAAGAGGTCAAATGTTTGTCTCACTCCAGTCAAAAGGAATGTCCAAGGATAGGAAACTATGCTAGATTCATTTATTCAGATTCTTTTATGAGGTTACAATTTTCTGTCTGCTAAAATTTTCAAAAGGTTTCTCGAAAAGCATCAAGTACCGTATATGCCGGCATATAGGACAACTTCCGGAAGCGCTAAACTCGGCGCCAAAGACAGGGGTCGTCTTATACGCCAAGTCGTCTTATACGCCGGAAATACTGGTAGTTTCCGGCATATAAGATGACGTTCTAGGAAGGCGACTCGGCGATAAAGACGGGGGTCGTCTTATACACCGGGTCGCCTAATACGCCGGCATATACGGTATTAATCAGTACATTACAAAATCCCTTGATAAGGATGAAAGGTGGCAAAGCAAAACCCAATTTTCAATCTTCCAGAACACTGTTTGACAAAGACTGTGTAAACCCAGATTTTTCTGAAATACTTTGAGTTCTGTTGGCTACTAATAATTATATATGGAGAGAAATTGTAATACACAGTTGCCAATTTTTTTTTTTTAATGTAACAACTGAGGAGAAGAAGGAGGAGGGTAAGGAGAATAAAAGAACACAAATATAGGGTTGCTGTTGTGAGCACAAACAGGAAATTCCAGCTCAGTCTGGAAGCTCATTTGCTACCTGTAAACATTTCTATCTTCTTACTGTCAGGGCAGAGAATGTAACAAAATAAATAAACATAGCAGCATTCTGCTTACAGATAGTCCCCAACCAGTCGTTTAGCACTTGTTCAAAAAAAAAAAAAGTGACTTACAACTGGTCTTCGCACTTAAAATTGTTACAGATTCCCATGGTCACATGATCAAAATTCTTATGCTTGGCAACCAGCATGTATTTACAACAACTACAACACACCAGAGTCATATGGCTGCCATTTGTAATCTTCCCAGCTGGCTTCTGACAAGCAAAGTCAATAGGGGAAGCGGAATTCACTTAATGACTGCATGATTCCCTTAAATGCAGTTATTTGTTTAATAACCATGACAAAGAAGGTTGTAAAATTAGGTATGACTCATTTGTTTAGCAATGGAACCTCTGGTCCCAACTGTGATGTTAAGTAGAGCAGCGGTTCTCAACCTATGGGTCGCGACCCCATTTGGGGTCGATCGACCATTTTTCGGGGGTCGCCAAAGGTGGCGATCTGCCATTTTTCGCGGCACCGTGCACGCGCGCCGCGCACGGGGGCGGTGCCGCGCACGCACGCCGCGCATGGGGGCGGCCCCGTGCACGCGCCCCACGCATGGGGCGGCGCCGTGCACGCGCACCGCGCATGGGGGCCATCGTGCATGCGCGTCGCACATGGGGGGCGCCGCGCATTGGGGCCCCGCCCCCCATGCGCGTGGCACCGCGCATGCGCAGAACGTTTGTGTGACGGGGGTCGCCGTCACACAAACGTTGAGAAGCACTGAAGTAGAGGATTACCTGTACTGGACTCTCCCTCCTTTTAGCTGAAGAGAAACACAGAGCTTTGCCCTATCTCACTAATAAAACATCAATTTTATTTTTTCTCAGTCAAGAGCTCACCTCTGCTGCGTCATTCACTTGGGGGCCATCCCCAAAATGGCAGTCTGCTTTGTTTTGTCCATCCCCTCTCTCAGCTTCCACCTCAGTGATCTGCAAAGACTCGGATACAGATTTGGAAGACAAAACAACATCCTGAAAGCAAACAAAATGAGGTTAAGAAACAGCAAACCCCTTAATAAAACATTTCACACAGTCCACTGCAGGTGACCGTGTTAAGATCTGGCAGGGTCACCTGCTCAGAGAATTATTTAATTATTTGTAAACAAGCAAGCAAAACAAATGATAACCCCTCAGCTTCTTCATAATTTAAGGGATACACAAAAAGATAAAAGCGGAGACAGCTGTCCTGCAGCTATAAGCCTAGGTGCCCCCCAACCAGACTCTCTTAGCAGACTGACAGGGTGTAATTCGTTATTGCAAGGCTCTGATTTCTGCTTAGAAGGCTCTGCCCATCAAAACCGGTTTCCGTTAGCTAAATGAAAAGTCAGTGCTTGCATTTATTTGCGCATCCTTTGATTTGCTATCCTTGGAAGACTAAATGGGCAAACTGCTGCAAGGCGTGGATGAGAACAGCTCGTTCTCACACAGCATTCCCAGCTAAGACAGCCCTGATCCAGACCATAAGCCTTCCGATTCCTATTACCTGAGCAGAGCCTGTTGCTTTGGACAACTGCTCCTGCAGTTGAGGGATGTGCTTCTTCGCTTCCTGGATCTCTCTGAGCAGGCGGGGAGCCGGAGCACGGTTGTAGTCTTCCTGCAGGAACTGAAAGGGTTTGATGATAAGCGGAATCGTCGTCATCAGGGTTCCCTGGCTGCTTTTTTGAAGACCAGGTTTGGTAGTCAGGGTTGAGCCAGCTGCTGGCCCAAGCAAGTCTTCGGAAAGCCCTGTTAGCTGTCTTACAATGGCTGGGCCACCCTTGAAGTTAGAACTCAGCCTCCCAATGAGTATTGCTGAGATGTACCACTTATTCCTCTAATAGGTAAAACAGATTTAATCTCAGACTGGATGGGAAATGTGTTTCTAAGTGCTGCTGATTACAACTATGTTATTTAGGTCGTAGGCTCCCCAATCTCGACTTAAAAGGGTAAAAAGCCATTCTACCAATTTGAACAAGGAATTTCACCGAGTCATTCCATCTCCCAAACGTTTCTTGTTTCTTACCAGGAGCATTTTCTATTTTGCAACCAGGACACAGAATATTACATTAGTTTAAATGGCCACCCCCCGACTTTTTCATTAAGTTTACTTTTTTGGTACCTGTAGTCGCTCCTGTTCTTTCTGCAGCATCTTCCTCAAAATCTCTACTTTCTGGCTGTGAACAATGTTATTTTCCTCCTAATAAGAAAAGATGGGCAGTTCTCATTTACAAACATACGGTAGTCTGCCTGAACTTGAACGGATTTTTCACAACATACATTCCAGCCATATAGTCTAATTAAAATCAATGAATATCTTACCCCCATCAGCACTGGACTGGTAATTCTCTCTGCATTTCCACACGATCCAGGAGAATGCGGTGATGACATGATGGGAGACATGTGCCCAAAGGCAGCTGAGTCCACCTCAGAATCAGCCAGTGGAATCTGGGGCGACCCAGGTGGGCGCCCTTGCACAGTGAGCGCTACATAGGAACCAGCTGTAGACAGAAGATGAAATTCCATTATCTGGGAGAATTCCATTATTTGGGAGAAGAGGGACAAGGAAGACTGGGTTTATACTTCCTGTTTGTTTCAAAAGAAAAGAAAAGAATGGGCTCCACTGGAGGACTACTATGGCTTGACCTCAAGTGCAACGTACAAAGGCAAGTTTCCCTCCACAGAATTGTATAGGTATTTGAGAAGAGACAGTGGTTTTGCATAAGTAGATTAATTCAGTACAATCACTGAGATGTGTCAGCGATCCAATCTGCCTGTCTGATCATAAATTCAAGTATGTCAAATTTATTCAACTCATTTATAGATGTGGTATTGAACCAATAGCCACAGTTTCAATCACGGGGGCAGAAAAGGGGTTGCTTTGAACCAATCTGTTGTTATTTAAACTTCATCTTCTTTAAGAGATACTAAGGAAGAAGGAAGTGGAATGGAGAAGACTGGAACAATGAATCAGAATAGCACAGCACAGACAAAACCCTGATATGGACTCCAAGCAACTGAATGATTGACAGAACAAAAATAGAACACTGGAACATAGTGGAAGTCATCTGTCAAAATATATTCAGCAGTCTTGAGGGTTTTTAAATAAATGTTTTCCAAAACAATACTCTTAGTTTTTCAAATATGTGATATTTTAATACCATTGCTAAAATCAAATTCCTGAAAATATCATGACAGTTTGACCTCCATCATCTCTCCCTGAAATCTCTTTTAAAAATATAGTGTAGCGCAGTGCAATGTAGTGTAGTGTAATATAAAATAGCCTGAAAAGCATTTACTTACACTTTATCAGCTTAACCACCTCTAAATGGTTGGAATGTGTTACCAAAGTTCCGTTCACCTACCAAAAGATAACAAATATGCTTATTTTGATTTTCAGCTTGACTTAGATGATTGGACTGAACTCCTAATCTACAGAACTAAACTGATTTAACTTCCTCCATGCTCTTTATTGGGAAATCTGTTCCGGTATCATGGTGAACAAAAGTATTGTCCAAGATTCCAGCACTTCTTTTAAAAACAAAATCATCATATAGAGCATATATTTGTAAAACAATAGAAAAAAGATTGTAATTTTAGGGATTCTGTTAAGTTAAGAAAGTGGGGGGAAAATAAACTGCAGTTATAAGCAGGAATTATGGCTTTACTTTCATGTATATGTCATTCAGGTTTTAAGGCCTTTTTGAGGACATGAAATTGGAACAAAGTGCCATTTATATCAGCCTACAAAGCAAAATTATTTTAAAAAGCAGCTGGAAACAGGCACTTATTGCTCACAGTAAAGCACTAATTTAAGTCCAGTGGACTTCAGATGCTTTAATACCAATGCTCAGACTGTCTCTTTCTTTTTGTCTCTAACTCAAACCTCCTTTTGGGTATAGGCCTGTTTTTGTGGGTTTTTTTCTTTTTGAAAAAAATAATTTGCCACTTAATATTCAGCTTTAACAAACACCCCTCCCTGCACTTGTACATCAAAAGGATTTATTTGTATTACTAATTCTGAATATAGATAGCCTGCATTTCAAACTGTTTCCGAGAGGTTAGGTTTAGCAAAACATATGCAGTGATGAAAACTACTGAAGCATTTCTAGTTCTTACCACCTTCAATTTATTCTTCCAACACTTAATTATCCTACCTTAATGATTCGGTCACCAGTTTGAACCCCAGCCCGCATGGCTGCTCCATCTAGAGAGAAGATTTAACTACTTAGCAATCAATACATAATTTCTAGCATTTCCAGTTATGCCAGGTATTGAAGAAAAAGAGTCTTGTTAGCAAAAAAAAAAAAAAAAAATAGAAAGGGTGTGGTAGCATCATTTCCAATTAGTATGTTTTACTTAAAGACATAAGCTTTTGGGAACTTCAGCTCACAAAACTCATCCCTTTTAATAAAATTTGTTAGTTGGAATATGTTCTGCCAGAGTCCTTCCCGTTACGCAAGGGCCACACTGAACAAAGACTTAAGTATGTTTTCACAGCAGACAGCACATTTATATTTCAAGCATTACAGCTGCATACTGCAAGATTTGTCTGACAGAAGTATAACAGGCAAAGTGATCCTGAATCAGCCTACTTACCTTCTTTGACAGATTGTACAAAGACTGGGTTGTCACCACTGACTGTTAACCCAAATCCATTTTCATCCCGCTGAATAATGACGCATCGTTGAACTAGACCTGGATAGGAAAAAAAAATGACAATGAGACATCAGTATAGACATCAGAGAAAAGTCATATGCTGGTGAAAGTTTCTCAAAGTCCACCAAATGGAAGAAAACCAAAAATAGAAGATCTGGATAGAAGTCAGAAGATAGCAAATTTGTGCCGTTCAAATACTGATTATATGAAATAGAGATAGCAAGTAGACGTTTGCTTTGGTACATTGATCATATTAATAAAGGAGAATATTTGTAGCACAGGGTTGAAATGAGGAGGTCCTTGGTGCTCTCTGAGCTTTGTTGTTACTATGTTACCTAGTTTGGGTAATGAAACGTCTGCAAGAAAACAATCAAGTTTAGAGAGAACCAAGGCCCCTCAATGATCATACTCTAAATATAAATATTTTCAAAATTGTTCTTTAAATACATCGTTTGGCACAGTGATTACAATGCAATTTTGCAGATAAACTCTGCCCACTGCCAGGAGTTCAATCCTGACCGGCTCAAAGTTGACTCAGCCTTCCATCCTTCCGACATTTATAAAGTGCTCAGAGAATGTTGTAATGTTATTGCTATTGCTATGAAATCATTCTATACATATAACCTTTCCAAATAAAATGATTGAAATGTCTTATTCTCAAAAGTGACTGAAGATTCACATACTCAAATGTGCATGATTCATACATCTTTCCACTAGCAGGAAAGTAACCACTAATAAGCTATTTAAATTCTCAGGGAGTGGAAGCTGATCATGCTTTCAACTCATTATTACCAAGTAAATTACAGCCTTGTACACTCAACTGCAAGGAATGATCAGTCAAGTTGCTAATGCCATGAAGGTCCATTTTGTACTCATTCAGATATGTGCATCTTTAAAATATTACCTATATTTCAGCAAAACCTTAATTACAATGGATGCAATCTGTTTTTTTTCCCCCCTCAAAGAGAGGTTGATCATTTTAATCAGATGTGGACTACACCAGTGAAAGAGCAACAGGACTTCTTTGGTGTATCCAACTCCAAATACCTTTCTTTGCATTTATGTTCAGTGACAGCTCAGATTAAAAAATCTTAACTATCAAAGATGTATCTCACTAATTGATCGTAAGCTTCTAATTAAGCAATACTTTGATGTAGTCAGGAATCACAGGTTATGGGAATCAGCACACAGTGATTGATTCCACTCATATTCTCTCCTATTCATGGATACATTTGTGTTGAGTCACACTAAGGAGCTGAGGCCTGGACTATTTTTTCCTTTTGGTATGATGACAATCTGTTTTGACTGACAATCAAGTAATCAAAGTCTAGATTTGTTTCACAGGATGTTGTCTTGGCAACAAGCTCTGAAAACAGCTGGTTATTTAATTAATAACACTTCTTATAAACTGTGCCAGGCTTCCCCAGCACAGGGTATGCCAAAGGCAGTGATCACAGGTTAACATCATCATCTCTCTGTAATGCAAAGATTCTCTAAAGATACTGCCAATTCTAGATTGAAAATTGCCTGTTTCACTGTCTCTTATTTGTGTGGGGAAAGATTGTCAAGCTAATAGATTTTATTGCCTATATTTTACTGAGAATAAAGAGATTTTTTTATTAAATATAGTGTCCAAATTGCTCACTGTGTAGCTTCTTTTGTCATAATATTAGGCATAAAATAGCTGAAGGCTGTAATAAGTGTAAAGGGGATTTCTTTACTTAATGAGGTAAATACTATCCAAACTCAATGAAGATTAACTTTAATGTTTTATCTCTTGCTCTGGGTAAACCCTGTGTTACAGACCATCAGTACATGGAAAATAAAGTAGAACATTTCCAGACTGAATTTTTTTTTATTAAAATATGGCTGTATGTTTAGGAAGCTGCCTCATAACTAAGACAAATAATTAACCTGAATAAGAAAGTGGGAAAAAAGTGCAAAAGCATCCAATTTCTCAGATAATTGGCCAATTAACTTTAAATACAAAATTATGTAATACTAGAGCAAAATTAAAGCATTCATCCAAACATCACCAGATAGAGCTCTATCAATGCAGCTATTTAGAGCACATATATGATGGGTGAACCAACTTTTAATAATAAGAATAAAATCTGATACAGCAATAATTTTTGATAAATACGATAGCCTGCAAATTCATTACGTAAGCAATTGCTCACACATAATGAAGAATTGAAGGATTTTTTTCTCTGCCATGCACTAATTTGATTTTTTTAAAAAAACGTCTAACAAAATACAGGGAATAAAAATGTAAATGCAAGCTATCTATCGACTATTTTCCAAAGAAGGCTAATTGGATAGTCTACTCTGGTTTGTATTCTTGGTTTAACCATGGTATCAAAGTAATGTCCAAAGTTGTTTGATTCAGAATAGAATTGGTTATATTTCTGATTTTAAAAAATCCAAAAACAAAAGAAATCTTGAGTATCACTTCCAATTTTTAAGGAATTAAATATAATTAGCCTTAACTTAAAACAGGGTGTTGAAGGTAAGGTGTAGAGAAGAAATAAAGCTTTTTTCTACAAAAACAAACCAAACCACTATTCATATAAAATTGCCTAACAGACAAATCTTCCTAGAAAAATCTTCGCCAATTTCAATCATGATCCTCAATAGCTTCTTTTTCTGTGGCTATCTTCCTAATTTTGTTTCCAAAACTGCTATTGATTAAATGTTTTGGAATAGACGCCTTGTGATTTAATTTAATTTAAGAACACATCAAAAGGAAGGCTTTAAAAAAGGAATTGGTATCAATCCAGAGGAAGATCTTCAACTGATTAAAATTGTATTGTGTTATACTGTGATTATAAAAGCAGAACCAAGAATTTTAAAGTGTGGTTTTTGCTTATAGTTATTGCTTACAACTATGATACAGAAAGACCTAAATAAATGAAATGGAACAGCACAAAGTATCCATTTGGAAAGTAATGCAAACAAATGTATAAGAGATTTATGAACCTCAGTTGTTTTCATGATGTCTAGCATATGCAACAGTGTGTTTTAAAAGTTGTAAAGTTGATTGAAATAAGTGGAAATTTTAATGGTTGGGTGATTAGGATTCCTTGATAACTAAAAAATAAAACTAAGTCAAACTTGTGTCAAATTGTTTGCATTTAACTCAAGATCTGTATGATTTACTGTTAGGAAACTATAATTTTTGTAAAAAACTTGACTGCAACATGCTTTCTTAGAAGCATTTAAATGTTTAAAATTACTTTTCTTGAGATGCCAGCCAGAATAATTACCAAATAATGTAGATTCAAGATAAAGGCTTGGAACTGTGCTGTAGATCTCTTTCTTCAGTATGTAAAGTGAAATAACATTTAATCATTCTATAGCATACATCCTTTCATGTATTAAGAAAGAGAAAGACTGAAAAAAGTTTGATCCACGCTAAAATAGTATTTCTTACTTACATCTTTACATATAGCAATCAAAGTCTATGGACCTTTCATTCAGGAAAAGAATTTCAACAGTTTTCACCTCAAAAAGGTAATTGCCACACCTTTAATCCCTTTAATAGATATTTTTCCCAATGTCCAAAAGCAAGCAGAAAGACTGCAGTCATCAGCAATATAAAGCACAGCATTTTCTGCTGGAAGGTTCTTAAATAGCTACTCCTATCCAAAGCAAATATTGCAAATGTTCCACACAGATTTCAGGACTAGAAAGAAGAGGGAGAGAAGGAAGCAACCTAGGAAAGCAAATGACTATTGCAAAGAAAGGAGTGGAGCTTTCATAGTTAGATTGTAACTGGACATAGAATTTTTTGCAGGAAGTCTGAGAGGAAACTGGTTGTATTATGAATGATTTATTATACATATGTATATGAAAAGTCAAGATGTAGCATGCAACAGAGAAAAGAAACTACAAATTCTAACATGCATATTAAACATTCCCATGAACAAGATAGCTATTTCACACACAAAAAACTGGTTATGCAGTGGTTTCTCCCAGTAGTACATTCTGAAAGACTAAGACTAGTAGTTACACCTCTGTGCAATACAACTGCATTATAATTTCTTAAATTGTTATGTAAATAGTTTTTTTCTGAGTGTAGAAAAATGTGCCAAATAGCTACAAAGGAGCTATATAAAATCTCCATAAAGGGATTTTAATTTGAAAAAAAAAAAACACAAAAAAACAGATGTGCCCATTATTGTAAACATAGTTTTTTGGGGGGGGTCATTTTTTTTTAAGAATGACTAAGATTTCTTTTATGGATATATCTGCAGCCTCCATTACAAATGTTTCATAACTATCAATCAAAGGGACAGAGGTATCTATTTTATAAAACTTTCTCTCTCCATAAAGAAGATATAGTTTGGGAGGTGGAAATCCAAGAAAATCTTTGAGACCTGGTTGTGAGTAATAATTTCAATTTAAGCTATATCCAACTATTCATAGGTTTAAGTAGTAGCAGACAAAAATCATACAATTAACTGAAATTCCATTATATTTAGAAAGCCATCCATTCCATGCTACGCAGTTCTATGGAATTTTAAAAATATTTTATACGATAAAGAGGTACCTATACAGCAAGTAATGGTTGAGAAGCTAAAAAAATAAAAAGACTGCCCCTTTTTTCAAACAAACTGCTATCATATTCCACAGAGAATTGTTTTACCTACACAATGGTTAGTGCCAATTCCTCAAACTTTCCAACCCAAAGAAAAGATGTCATTTAGATCCTGGAAGACAATATAAAAAACATCTAATATTTGCTATAAAGGTTAGTATCCACCAGCAAGCTTGCATATTTAAGCCACATTAAAAGCTCAGTCCTTTCCCCTGATGCAAAGTTAGCCATGCATAGCAGGGAAAAGGCAGAGGCCTTGGGCACACAGAACAATTGAACAGAACACACTGCACAAGGCTACAGTGGCTGCTTCAGCTTACCATATGTCTCGGATCTACTCTCCTCTGAGCTATACTTTGTCTTCCTGGAGGAGCTATCTGCACGAAAGCAGGAGAAAAGGAGAAAGAGATATAGGAAATATGGAGACCAACATGGAAAAACTTCATTAAAAATTAAAATGATTTCTATAATTGGGTTAATTCATGCAAAACACAAACAAGATATGAGCATACAGAGATGATAATATCTGAAATCAGAATGTGAAATAACAGTAGTTGACTGTATATATAACATCAAATGTAAAGTTCCAGAAAAAAAGAAGGCATCATAATCAAGCTCCCTCCTTTCTATAGCAAAAATTGGAAAAGATGTTTTATAAATATAATGCACAGCCTTTTATGCAAAGCCCTACGTTTGCCAATGGTACCCAGAAAATAATCATTATTTGAAGTATCCCAACCACAATGGGAAAGGGAGAAAGTCTTGGTTAGTTTGAAAATATTTTCTTCCCCATCCTTGAAATAGCTAGGGATGATGTGTTGCTTCATGGATATCCCTTCTTAGGAGATATATAGTCAAAGGATCCTGAATGTGTCTAATCACAATGCTATAGGGACACATAAACATACGAAAATATATTTCTTTAGCTATTCTTATTTCAATTCTTTTTAATGTCCTTAATTTGGCAAAAATTTGGAAATATCAGCTACTTTTATATTAAAAGCCCAACTCTTAAAGAGATTACACTTCATTCACCCTCACAGTCAAACTCTAAGGAAATTTTCATTTTATGTTACAGATGGGGAAATGTTACATTATGTTATACAGGGATTAGCCAATTCTCCAAAATTCAAGCCTAAGAGCTACCTCTGAGTTCTCATTTAGCAAAGAATCAGTAAAGAGAAGGCATAAACATTTCATCCCAATATAGTATGTTTTTTTTTCTCTGTAGTTATACATCTTCCTGTATCACACATTATGGCCTTCAAAGTTATTCTCATCTGTGGTAAATTCTTGGAGAATAACAGACAGAATAGCTAAATTTCACAAATGAAAAGCAACACACCATGTGGGGCCAAGAGGCTCACCCGCAAGCCAGTCACACAGTTAGGAGCATACAGCAGTCAGTCTGGGTTAGTAGGTTGGGGTGGGTGGAACCTTCACATGCAGACTAATTTCCAAGACAGCATTAGACTCTGAATGCAATACAGATGGTCTACAGGTATAGGGAAACAAAAGAAACAAAATGAATGTGTCCAGTTAAAAGTTGATAGAAATATAAAATAATTGAGCGCAATTTCACTCAAAAGAAAACACTCCTCAGCTCCAGAGCTGAGGAATGTTAAGCATTTGCTCCATAGGCAAGCAAACTATCAGACAGTACAATCCATCTAGCCCAGTTATCTATAGAGCAAGATCAAGTACTGAAGAGAAAATGGAATACAAGACCCACCCAAAGGAATTCCCAAAGACAGGTAAGCTGAACAACATTGTACTTTTTAAAATGGCTGCAGTATAATCAAGAAAAAGCCTGCAAAATAAATACAGGTTTGTGCAATTCCTCATTTATATTGGCAAATAATATGGCTTATTCATTAAGAAAATAAGCAATGATCTGCTGGATCAGACCTCTGGCTCGTCTATTCTAGCAGCTTATTCTCATAGTTTCCCAGCAGATGGCCTTGAGAGGCAATAACACTGCCATATCAATGCTACTATCATCGACCCCTATTAATTCAAAGGAAATACATATACAGATGAGTATAATCACAGGTAAATGAGTACAATTTAATGCAGTTCACAACTGTCGGATAGGCTTCATACATTTGTTTACTGAAGCTTTATACTCAAACAAAACTGGATCTCTAATGATTAAAAAAGTCACAATTCGTAAGTGCAGAAAGTACTATAGGATACTACATTCACAACTAAAATAAACAGAAACAAAAGAACTGTCACCAGAGTCTCCAACTGAATCAAAGTAAGAACACAGGGGAAAACTAAAATATCTCTCTCTTATAATCTGCCTATAAAGCTTCAAAAAGCCCTCTCCTTTAGTGTGTAGTTTTCTACCTTGGCCTTACTTTCTAGGTAGATTTAAAACAAACGAAAGTTCCATCTACTATGCAACTTCAGAAGTATATAACTCAAAAACACAAGAATAAGGATACTGTGCAACCCCACTGACAAAAATGTTATGCAATCGAAGTGGAAAATAAAAAACTACAGAAACCCCTTGTTAACTGCCCCTGAATATAATATTGGCAAAAGAAGTTAGGCAACTTTTTAATTCCAAAGCTGGAGAACAGGAAGATCCGAGTGTTCTTTAGAGTGTGAAGATGATTCTACCTGTTGGGTCAAAATCATGGGCACTAATGCAGCGCTCGACTTTCTGCTTCTTGTCTGCTGGAGACTCTCTGCTCAGGATGCTGCCATGCCTAAAGCCAAACAGAAAGGGGGGGGGGGGAATCATTTTTTTTTACTTCATTACATATGAAGTAAATACTTCATTTTTTTACTTCATTACATATAAGGAACGGTTGCGAGAATTGGGTATGTCTAGTTTAACGAAGAGAAGGACAAGGGGGGACATGATAGCAGTATTCCAATATCTCAGGGGCTGCCATAAAGAAGAGGGAATCAAGCTATTTTCCAAAGCACCTGAAGGCAGGACAAGAAGCAACGGGTGGAAATTAATCAAGGAGAGAAGCAACCTAGAACTAAGGAGAAACTTCCTGACAGTGAGAACAATTAACCAGTGGAACAACCTGCCTCCAGAAGCAGTAAATGCTCCAACACTGGAAGTTTTTAAGAAGAGACTGGACAGCCACTTGTCCGAAATGGTGTAGGGTTTCCTGCCCGAGCAGGGGGTTGGACTAGATGACCTCCAGGGTCCCTTCCAACTTTACTAATATGAACATAAACTGAGCTAATTTTAAGAAATCTGCTAATATGTGCCCATTTTCCTTATTATTTCTATTGGGGGGGGGAATAATCAACCCAATCATGGAAGGAATCCATGATTCATTTCCTATGTCTCAGATAATTCAATCTGGTTAGTGGGGTGCAGTTAGATATATCCAAAACCTTCCATATTAGCTTACTGGAAGATGGGGAAAGGCCAGAACTTTCTTAGTAGATACAGAAAGGTTTTCAAACCCTTAGAAACTTACCTTGTAGGTTTTTTGAGGGGAAACCTGAAAAGTAAAATAACAAATAAAAATAGTTAGTATCATATAAATTGTTTCCAGATTACAAGAAAACAATATCAACCTCCATGTAATAGATTTAAGGATAATCACTTTTATTTTCAACTGTTGTTTGGGTTCCCACAAAAAAAAACTAAAGAAAGATGGAAGACTTTAACCCCATGATCTGCTCATGGGATTCTATTCTATTGCACAACAATTTTAAAGGTTTCTTTCAGGTAGTGCTTCTGTTACATAAATATTCTATTCCTTTCTTCCACATGAAAAGACTAATACTTCTATCTACTGAAATAATTCATTATGATAAAAGTACTGGAATCCCTAAAATGAGATGTATCATTAAATTCATGAGGACTACTAATATTCCAGTATATAGTTCAGTCATTCCTTCAGTCAAACAACTACAAAACAATTTACTCCTAAATTCAGCATAATAGTTTTTAACAAATATTCATTGTACCCTAAGATATTTAAAGCACTTGCTAGAAAAGTATTTAAAAATCTGAATTATACAGAAGAGAGCAGGACTGCACACAGAAACAATTGAGTAACTCATTTCACTCTACACAAAACTCTCAACTGAAAATTGGCTATAAACTTGTAGCATTATAATACAATTAAGCAACTTTGTTTCAAAGCTTTAACAACTTTATTAATAAAACCAGCAGTAGCATTTATGGCATTTTTTTCAATTCTGTTACTCAAACTTGGAGCAAAATTGTTTCTAGATATAGAGGTAAACACTCAGAAATGCATTACTGGGAATTCCACACTTATTCTTTCTTTCCCTTCATCTTTCTACATGAGAATCCAGCTTCCAAGCAAGGCTGCGTATGTCAAGAGGACAAATTTTACAAAGGGCTTCTGGGATAGAGTCTCAGAACCTTATGGGCCGTAAGCCAGATTCCCTAATCCCATTTCCCCCCCTCTCTTCATCCATCCTGAAGGAAGGGAGGGAGGAGCAAATAAAGGAATGATAGCAAAACAGAGGGAGATAGTTACATGGAAACCACAAATAATCTGATATATTGCTGTTATGCACTGCCACTCCTTAGAGACTGGGACCTTAGAAATTTAGTCTCTCCTTTCCACTGAGAAATGTTATCATTTAGTATGCATAAAAAGATCAAGATAACTATTTTAGAGAAATGTCCTGCCTTTATTAAAATCCTGCTCTCTTCTATATAATTCAATAAAACCGACATTAACTTTAACATGCCACCACACAGACAAAACATATATACAAGGGGAATATTTTTCCTAATATAAATTAGATATTTCATAGAACATGAATATATGCCAAACACATGGCTTTATACCAAAGCTACCATGGAGGTAAAACTTTCCTTCCCACCTGATACCACACTAAGAATGATTAAGGCAGCATCTAAAAACATAGGCAGTTCCATGCAGGGTGTTTTTTATGTAAAATTAGGGTGTTCAGGTTCAATAAATTCAATATTTCCAGATATCAAGGAAATCCATTAGGTATCACTCCAAGGGCTTTAATAACAATTGGTATAACAACAGATTTCTTTTTCCATTCGTGTTTAGGTTCAACTGCAAGACCGGTATTTCATATTTTTTTCCAATTGTTTTGCCTCAACACTAGCATCACCTGGTATAGCAACAAAGATGAACCATACTTCCTTCTTTTCAATAACTGTTATATCAATTATATATTGATCCAGAGTCCTGGATAGATAGATAGATAGATAGATAGATAGATAGATAGATAGATAGATAGATAGATAGATAGATAGATAGATAGATAGATAGACAGATAGATATGAGTAATAGCATTAAAAATATGAACCCTGGGTATATTCATGTTTAAAATATGAATTTTTATAGTTTTAACTACCCTGGTGCTCATTTTATTATATATATATATATATAAAATCAATATTTATATATATTCAATATATAAGACAGAGTCCTGTCTTATTTTAAAATTGCACTACACTTAGATGAACACTGTATTGTCCCACTCTCATTAGAAAAAGGCTTTGTATTTATTCAAAGGAAACTCTCTATAAAAGATTTTCTATTGCACTGAATTATGGGGTGATGATTTTTACAAAAAGTAAAAAAGGTTTTTCATACTGCACTAAATTAGAAAATCACAATTTCTATTGTATTGCTTATAACAATGAACTAAAGAAGCAGAGATAATTTGGACTATCAAAACAGGAAATCAAATTATCTTGAGATGACTACATCAGATGATAATTATGAATCATCCAAAGTACATGTACATTATTTATCTTTTCTTCAGGGAGGGTTAATACTAGAGACATTATTATATAATGTCTGAAAGTGGTTTCAAAACTTGCACAACATATTCCACTAATTTTTCAACCCATTTCACACATTAGATCTTAGCAAATTATAAAAACAGTATGGTTTTCAAACATGTACCACATTATCATACATAGATCTATATGCCATATCAAATCATATATAGAATGCAATATCAAATGCAAGTTGGGCTTCTTTGAAACCAATCCTTAAGTAATGAATTAATGTCTATATTAGAAAATATTATGCAACAGATGAAGTTGTTTTGTTTTGTTTTGAAACTCTGAGCCACTCTTGACTCCCAAAGAGTGCTTGAATATAGAAGTAGTGCTCAGTTAATGACTGCAATTGGTCTTAAGATGTTACAGTTATTAAGTGGGTCACCATGTGACTTGATTTTAAAACCATTTTTGCGACAGAGAATGACAATGGTCATTAAGGAAATCACATGGCTATTAAGTGAACTACGTGGTTGTTAAGCAAATTCATTTTCCTGAATGGGTGTTTTTGGCCACGAGATGCTGCAATTAGTCATAAATGTGAGCTAGTTGTCAAGCGCACAAAATGCAATCATGTGATTGAGGGGGCAGTTTCAACTTTAAGGATGGATTGTAATTTTTGTTTTAGTCTTTATAACAGTAGTTAAGTGATTGGTCACTAAGCAAGGACTAGTTGTACTGTTATCATCTTGGTGGTATTTTCAGGAGTGGTTTGCCACTGCCTTCTTCCCACGGCTGACAGAGTGAGACTCTCACAAAGCTGGTTTCAGGACTAAAACTCACTGCTTCCCAGTTTCTAGCCTTGTACCTTTAATCACTACCCTGAAGTGGTTCTCAGCTGAAGTATAAATATAGTGAAATTGTAAGAATTTAGTTGCTAAAGTTTCAGGTACAGTCTAGCCATTCAGTCCTCGTTCAAGCCAGCTCTTTAGCACTGTTCCATGACACTGGTCCTTGGATTTTTCCAAAAGCTGATGTCAGGATATTTCACAGAGAAAGAACTGCATTTACAAAATCAGGAGGAAAGGAGGGCTTCCCCAGCAGCTATACTCAATGTAGCCATTGTGCTGCCCTGTAAGGGGGAGCCAGAGTGTTGTCAAAGGCTTAGTTTGCTGCTGAACTTGTGCTCACTTAGGAAAAAGGATTTTTAAAAACAAAACAAAAATGCCAAACATTTCTCCTACCAAATCCTGTTCTTCCTAAAGGTATTCATTTTTACAACTGATAACTCATTCTACAAACAGGATAGCAAACTAGTCATAATGAATCTACAAAACAGAACTGGCTTCCATTTTCCTAGTTATTCTTAATTTGCAAATAATTACTTGTAAGCACCATGGCATTGAAGAGTTCCATTTTACATATTTCTAGACACTAAGATGGGGCTGCAGTGGGCAAAATCTGAAATTCTGAACCAATACAATAAAGTTGAAAAAAATCCCTCTTCTACTAACAGAGAATACATTTGATAAACTGCGTCTATAAAGTATTTTATTATTTATACATAAAATTTGTAAAGTTGCCTATCTCATTGAAGTCGACTATGGGTGGCACAAACAACTACTCTGGGGAGCAAACAACATTTTAATAATAACTTTAAACAAATCAAATAATTGTACAAGTTTGGCTCTGTAATTATGGCTTAGAGAAACTGGGAGACAAAGTAAAGAATATAAATATATCAATTACATTTAATAATTTGCAACTCAAGTATGCTTAGTGTAAGGTCTACCTAGAATCTTTGTTTCAAAATAACAAAACTATATAAACTTCCATGCAGAGATAATCTAAATAATCAAAGGAAGGCTTTATAACTCAATGACTGAAAACCTACATCTGATGCAGGAGATTCACAATTCTGAGCATCTTTGAAGGGACTGGGAAAGAACCATGTCTAAAAATAGGTAACACTGAGCTAGGTGGATCAAGAGTTGGTTTTCATATAACCACCTGTTTATTTTACCTACCACAGTCATAACTATAGTAAGCCCAATAAGCTTACAGCAATTTTAATTGGTGCATCTATTAGCTGCATCTCACATGCTTTGCATCATTAAACAGCTATTAAGATCTTTTACTTCAAATCTGTGCAAGAGACATTTAAAATAATTTTAGACTGTACTTGAAGGAGTTGAACAATTAGATTTCTCTGGTACCCAAAATATTTTCATCTATGTAACATGGTATTGAAAATTAAAATCCAACAAATATGACTCAAATTTCATGGAACAAATTTCTGAAATTCCTAGTTTCTATTTGTACTATACCTCCTGCTGTATATAAGCACAGAAGACTGTCCTACATTGCAAGGAATAAGAATACATTTGCTAAAAGACACGAAATACACATTGGCATACAGAGAACATCAGATATAATTCTCACAACATATTTCATCAGTCAAATATAGAGACATATAGAAATAAGAACTGGCCCTCCATAGCTTAAAAAGTATTACAGAGAAATGGAATCCAAAACTCTGTTAAAAGCAAAAGATAAACCCCACAATTACTGACTCTTTTCTCCATAGTATAATTTTATAAATTATTCTTGTAAGGCAGAGAATCTTTATGGCTTGACTAGAAGGCTGAACATTTACATTAATAAAGTTCAAAATTCTATTATTTCATTCATTGTCAATTTATTTGCTATGATCAGTTGTATTGCAGGATCTACCTAGGGAGCAAAGAT